GTGTTTTTACTTCCCTTGGCCAATACCTGGGAATGGAATTTTTTTTTTTTACGTTTATTTATTTTTCAGAGAGAGATAGAGCACAAGTAGGGGAGGGGCAGAGAGAGAGAGGGAGACACAGAATCTGAAGCAAGATCCAAGCTCCAAGCTGTCAGCACAGAGCCCAATGCAGGGCTCAGACTCACAAACTGCGAGATCATGACCTGAGCTGAAGTCGGACACTCAACTGACTGAGCCACCCAGGTGCTCCTGGAATTACTGGGTTATAAGGAGGTTTATTTTTCACTTTATAAGAAACTGCCACCAGAAATATATGGGATCTCCAGTTGCTGTACAACCTCACCAACATTTAGTATTGCTGGTCGTTTAAATTTTAGCTGCTCTGGGGCACCTGGGTGGCTCAGTGGTTGAGCGTCCAACTTCGCCTCAGGTCATGATCTCACGGGTTCGGGTTTGAGCCCCCCATCGGGCTCTGTGCTGACAGCTCACAGCCTGGAGCCTGCTTTGGATTCTGTGTCTGCCTCTCTCTCTGCCCTCCCCCATTGCTCTGTCTCTGTCTCTCTCTCAAAAATAAATAAACATTTTAAAAAAATTTTAGCTGTTCTGGTGAATGTGAGATGTTACTTCATTAATTTTCATGTCCCTGATGACTGACAGTGTTGAATACCTTTTTATCTGCTTCTTGGTCATTGTCTTTTTAAGTCTTTTGCTTCTCTCAAGTTTATTCAAGTCTTTTGCATATTTCTTATTGCCTATATTTTATCTTTTTATTTATGATGTTTAGTGCTTTCTGTATTTTAGATACAGGTTCTTTGTCAGATATTTGTTTTGCAAGTATTGTCTCCCAACTTGTGTTTCCAGTATTTGGACCTTCTGTGGTATATTACTTGTACTTATTTTTCAGAATAACTGGATCTATTACTTTAAAATTTTTTTAAAAATTTTAATGTTTATTTATTTTTGAGAGAGACAGAAGAGAAGCAGGAGAGGGTCAGAGAGAGAGAGAGGGAGACACAGAATTTGAAGCAGGCTCCAGGCTCCAAGCTGTCAGCATAGAGCCTAATGTGGGGCTCAAACTCACAAACCATGAGATCGTGACCTGAGCCATAGTCTGACACTTAACTTACTGAGCCACCCAGGTGCTCCTGGATCTATTACTTTAAATTTAGAAGTGTTTCACCTGAACCCACACTTAAGCATTTTATTTGAAAATATAACTAACTACTGTTTAGAAATAAGTTCATCTTTGTGAACATGGTCTGTATATAATTTTATAATTTTTGCTTTACATCGTTATCTTTTAAGTCAAAGAAGAAAAGATAGTCTTTTGTATTTATCCACATATTGATCATTTCTGGTATTCATTTCTCCCTATAGATCTGAGATTCATCTGGTGTCATTTCCTTTCAGCCTGAAGAATTTCCTTTAGCGTTATTTTTAGTGCAGATCTGGTGATGAATTACCTATTTTTGTTTACCTGAAAATATTTATATCTTATCCTCATTTTATAAAAAAGCTTTATTGAAATATACATGTGATACCATTTACCTAGTTTAAGTGTACAATTCAGTTATTTTTAGTATATTTAGAGTTGTGCAGCCATCACCATAGTCTTTTTTTAAGTTTTTATTTAAGTTCCATTTAGTTGACATACAGTGTAATGTTCCTTTTCAAGTGTATAGTTTAGTGATTCAGCACTTCCATAACAACACCTGGTGCTCATCACAAGTGCCCTTCTCCATCCCCTTCACCTATTTCCCCCATCCACTCACCCCCCTTCCCTCTGATAACCACCAGTTTGTTCTCTGTAGTTAAGAATCTGTTTCTTGGTATGTCCCTCTCTTCCCTTCCCCTAGCATCATCTGACCACAGTCTAAATATAGAACCTTGTGCCCATTAGCAGTGACTTCCTATTCCACTCCCCCCCCTGTCACTAGGCAACCACCAATGTACTTTCTGTCTGTAAATTTGCCTTTTCTAGACATTTCATAGACGTGGAATTACACAATATGTGGTCTTAGGTCTTTCACTTAGCACAAGGTTTTTGAGGTTCCTTCATGTTGTAGCACACATCAGTACTTCATTCCTTCTTGATGCTGAATTTGTATCCAGTGTATGGTATGCCACATCTTACGTATCCATCAGTTGATGTATGTTGGATTGCTACACTTCTTGGCTATTTTTTTTTCATGTTTATTGTTTTAGGGAGAGAGAGAGAGCACATGAAGGGGGGAGGAGGGGAAAGAAGGAGAGAGAATGGTAAGCAGGCTCCACACTGAGCATGGAGCCTGATACAGGGCTCGATCTCACAACAGCGAGGTCATGACCTGAGCTGAAATCAAGAGTAGGGCACTGAGTCACCCAGGTGCTCTCAAGTGTTTCTTTTTATTTCTGATTTTCAGCAGTTTGATTATGATGTTTTTCGTGTTTAACCTCCTTGGAGTTTGCTGAGCTTCCTGGGTTTATAAATTAATACTTCACCAAACCTGGGAAATTCTCAGCCATTATTTCTTCAAATATTTTTTTTCTTCCTCATTCTATCTTTTTCTGAGACCCAATTAAAATTTATTGGATCAGCTACTAGCATTCCTCAGTTTGCTGAGGTTCTGTTCATTTTTTCCCCTCAGTTTAGGGGGGAAAAAATCCCCATTCTTTAGGTGGATCATTTCTTCTGATCTTTCTTCAAGTTTACCACCCTTTTCTTCCCATCTCTAATCTCCTACTAAACCCATTTAGTTAATTTAAAATTTCAAATATTATAATTTTCAGTTCTAAAATTTACATTAAAAAGTATCTCTCCCCTGAGATTCTCCATCAGTTTAATTATTTACACCATGTTCCTTTAAATCTTTGAATGTGTTTATATTGGCAACTTTAAAGTCTTTGATGGGGTGCCTGGGTGGCTCAGTTGGGTAAGCATCCGTCTCTTGTGTTCAGCTCAGGTCCTGATCTCGCAGTTGTGAGATTGAGTCCCACATTGGGCTCCACAGTGAGCATGGAGCTGGCTTAAGATACTCTTCCCTTCTCCCTCAACCCTTCTCTCAAAATAAATAAAGTAAAACGTTAAAAAAAATAAAGTCCTTGTCTGCTAATTTCAATATTTGAGTCATTTTGGGGTCTATTTCTATTCATTGCTTTTTTTTTTTCCTTCTGGAAAACAGATCACCTTTTTCCTGGCTTTGTGATTGTCTCGTAATTTGTTCATTTTACTACATACTGGACATTATGGATGATACATTATAGACCCTCTCATTTCAGTTATCTTCATCTGAAGGGTGTTCGTTTTTGTTCTGTTGGGCAGTGAAAATACTGGCTTATCACCCTGGAATTGTAGACACTTGGGTTCACACTTAGTGGTGTAACCCCAAGGTGTTAACGGATCTCTGATTCGGTGGAGTTCAAACTCGAAAATCCCTGGCTGGGGGCAGCACAGAAATTCTGTTTAGTTCTTTTCTAACCTTTCTAATAACCTTCCAGCTATTTTTTTCTGCTGAGTTTCTTGGACTTTCCCTCATGCATGTGCTGTTTGGGCCAGGTATTTAAAGAAAGTTTATATTAAAGGATTTGGGGCTTCTTCCTGTGACCCGCCTCCTTCCAAGACTTCCTCTTTCAGTTCCCAGATGCCCTAATAACCCTGAACTCCGTCCTCTGATACCTCAAGCCAAAAAAACTGGCATTTTTGCTCAAGTTTTAGCCATGATGCCCCACAGAGATTCACCGGGCTGGGGGTGGGGAGACTAGAGGTTCTTCAGGGGGAAAAGCTGTATGAAAGTAGATCTTACTCATCGTGTTTCCTTTCCAGGGTTAAATGCCTTCCAGTGCTTTCAGCACTCTTCAGTGCTTTCAAATCTTTGTGGCGTTATTTTCCCTGATCCTTTTGGAATTTAAGGTGTTCCCAGATTACCTCATTTGAACGTACTCTTGAAAATTTTCACAGCATGTTGTATGTACACTTATAGTTCTTTATGCACTTGATTTGTCTCCTTCCAGTTATTGATCACTGCATTCCTGATAGCTCCACAACTGAGTAGTTTAAAGCAGCCATTTTATCATGCTTATGGTTTCGGTGGGTCAGGAATTGGCAAAGGGCATATCCAGGATGGGGTCCCTGGACCATACACCGGGGCTTCGTTGGGTAAAGCCTAAAGTGTGGGAGTAATGCAGTAGCTAGAACAGCAGTCACCGGGAAGTGTCTGCTCACACTCCTCGCAGTCGATGCCAGCTGGTGGCTGGGAACCGTGGGCCTGAATCCCTACACATGCTCTCCTCACAGCATCGTGACCTTGGACTCTTTATATGGCAACTCAGAACTCTGGTAGTAGTGTTCCAGAGACTGAGCTACAAGCTGCGTTGCCTTTTATTATCTGCTCCTAAAAGCTGTATGGCAGGAGCTACCTAGCATCACTTCCTCTGCTGTCTTGGTCACCCTGCTTTTATTGGTGGCCCGAACTGAAGGGGGAGGGGACATAGATTCATCTCTCAGGGAAGTGGAAGTGTCAGAGAATTTGCAGACACGTTTCAAAACCATCGGACTCATTCAGTAAATAGTAAGCTCCCCCTTGTGTCCCAACACAGTCCTACGTCCATGTCAATACGTATTCACTCAAGTATTTAAGTTTTCTTTGTAACTGTAGGTTTGGACATAAAGCAAATTTTTTTTTTAATATTTTTTAAAATGTTTTTTATTTATTTCTGAGAGAGAGAGAGAGAGACAGCGAGAGACCGTGTGAACTGGGGAGGGTCAGAGAGAGAGGGAGACGCAGAATCTGAAACAGGCTCCAGACTCTGAGCTAGCTGTCAGCACAGAGCCCGACGTGGGGCTTGAACCCACAAACCTGAGCATGATCATGACCTGAGCTGAAGTCGGACGCTTAACCGACTGAGCCACCCAGGCTCCCCTACAAATTTCTGTTTAAAGCTTTAAGAAAGGAAAAGGTATTTCACTACTTAAAAACATTTCCTTAGATTGATTTTTTTTTTTTTTTGGTCTTTATTTTTAGGATACAGAGTTTAATGAAAAATCCATGCTTACGGGGTGAACATGGCAGGCTTCCTAGATAATTTCCGTTGGCCAGAGTGTGAATGTATCGACTGGAGTGAGAGAAGAAATGCCGTGGCTTCTGTGGTGGCAGGGGTGCTGGTGAGTGGGAAGGCCTGGCTGGTGACATTTCTGCTTCATTTTTGGCCCTGAAAATGAATCTTGATTCCTTTGGACCATGAATACCCTTTCAGAACTATTCATTTCCTTATTATTTTGTATCAATAATTAATTAGAGTTCTAGATATTACTGAACAAAACATGGTAGGCCCTGGGTTCATTTGATTTCATAAAATTGTTACACTTAGTATTTTTTCTTCAATTCAAGTGATAATACAATTATCATAGGCAGTAACATTTTTTAAAATTTTAATGTTTTGTTTCTATTTAAGAGAGAGAGACAGAATGTGAGCAGGGAAGGGGCAGAGAGAGATGGAGACAGAATCTGAAGCAGGCTCCATGCTCTGAGCTGTCAGCACAGACCCCAGTGCGGGGCTCGAATCTGCGCACTGTGAGATCATGACCTGAGCTGAAATCGGACGCTTAACCAACTAAGCCACCCAGACACCCCTCAACTTTTTATTATAAAAAATGTCAAGCATGTACCATAATCAAAAATAGGGAGAAGAGTGTAAAGAGCCCTGCTCACCCCATGTGCTTCACAACCCAGCTTCCCTGCTATCCCGACCAGTCTTGCTTTCGCATTCCATCAGTCACCCAGAGCAGGAATTAAAGATAACCATGACGCTTCTAAGTCTTTTCTTGCACCTTACGGTCATCTTCCCTGCACTTAATTTGTCTGTGAAATTCTTTAGCAACTTCTCTAAATCTTTTCAGCTTAGCTTACATAGAAACAGTACATTTTAGGGGCGCCTGGGTGGCTTAGTCGGTTAAGCATCCGACTTTCGCTTAGGTCATGATCTCGTGGTTCATGGGTTCAAGCCCCACGTCGGGCTCTGTCCTGGCTGCCAGCTCAGAGCCCAGAGCCTGGAGCCTGTTTCAGTTTGTGACTCCCTCTCTCTCTGACCCTCCCCTGCTCACGCTGTCTCTCTCTCTCTCTCCTAGAAATAAATAAAACATTAAAAAAAAAATTTTTTTTAAAGAAACAGTACATTTTACATACTCTCATTCAGTCAGTTACACAGTATTTAATTAGATTCCACAATTGGCTAAAACTATACAGGTTTAAATAGTTCTGGAGACATGACAGCTGACCCTTGGCCAGCACACAGCTCATTTGTGGAAGCAAAAGAGATTGCGCATATTAAAAAGGAATGTTTTCTAGAGAGAATGAAACACATCAGGTAATCAGAGCTGGTTAGCTGGAGGTTAGTTAAGAGAGCTTTGGTGCATATAATTATGGTGGATGAAAGAGGCAGATAATTCATTCCAGATAAGAATTTTTTTTTTATCTTGCATTGAACTTCAGAATCTTACATAGGTTTGATTAGGTAAGTTCACCTCCTGTGCTACCAAGAGTCAGTAAACAAGTGATTCTTATTTTGTGTATTTCAACATCCAAATCTCTATATAGAAATATGGTCTGTAGAAATATAGGAATATTAAAGAGCAAGTATCATGCCAAGCCAAAGGATTCGGGTTATTTTAATGACTTGGGCTCTTCTGCAAGTTTTTTACAGGTTGGTGGATAATGATTGACGCTGCTGTGGTGTACCCCAAGCCCGAGCAGCTGAACCACGCCTTTCACACATGTGGCGTGTTTTCCACATTGGCTTTCTTCATGTAAGTATGAAGGTAATTCTCAGTTCAAGATCACTTTCCTAAAGACATTTTTTCCTTAGAGTTTAATGCTATCTGGAATAACCTTTTGATTTAATTGATGGATAAGAATCCATCTTTAATATGACAAATGTATATATTTTCCCACATTTTTAAAGATTTTTTTAGCAAGAATGAGTGTTGAATTTAATCAATATGTGAATTTAATCACGTGATTTTCCTCCTTATAATATTGTTAAACTGGTCAGTTACTATATTTATCAATACCAAGATTATTTTTTATATTTGAATATCTGAATATCAGGGTGCTTCTTAGAGTCAGTGGCATCTTATAATTAGTTGATAATATTTTTTTTTCTTGGTGAAAAAAATAATCATGCACTTAAAAGATCAGTGGCATCTTAGATTTAGTGAAAAATGTTACATTTCTGGATTTTTTTGCAGTGGATCATTCTTGAGTATGGTAACACATGCACCTTTTAACATGGAGTATAATTTTTATTAATGTGTTGTTTAACTGTGTTTGCCAGAAGCTGGGGGAAGGGTGGGATTGGCCTCCGATGAGATTGGTCTATGGCTTTTCTTTTTTACTAAATCATTTGTGGGTTTATCTGTTAAATCTTACTTCATGAAAGAGTTTAGAAACTTTCCGTGGATGTCTTTTATTAACTTTAAAAACTAAATTAAAATTAAGAATATATAAGTTCCTTAAACTGTGAGGAGTTATAAAAGTTAAATTGTAGAAGATGGAACTACTTAACATCCATTAAGGATGCTAAGAAAAGGCTACATGTCTACTGTAAACACATCTGACTCTAACAGAAATGTCAAGAGAAGCTAAATAAAGTGGGCCTGTTTATGATAGACCAAATGTCTGAGTTTGAGAAATGGCTCAGAGAACATCACTTGACTTTTAACACAGAGAGAAACTCCTTAACTCTTGATTCTAATGGTAACCTTAAAATAGAACTCACACTGAGTCATTCATGTGTCAATTCAAATAGGCAAAGAAATCAGAAAATTGGCCCCTTTCACCATCTCTGCAGACCAGTAATAGTTATCTCTTAAACTTAAGTATGTTTTCTGGGTGTAGGTTAGGTAGATAAGAGGCACATGGCACCTCTATCCGTTAGGATATTTGTGAAGTTAAAAGATAGGTTCAGTTCTTCAGGTACTGACACTTTGTTAGGAAATATTTCTCTTTTAAATGATACGTAAGTATCTGTGGATATTTTAGCAGCATGAAAGCTCACTAGGTGATTTTGTGTTGTTCCAGGATAAATGCTGTGTCCAATGCTCAGGTGAGAGGTGACAGCTATGAAAGTGGCTGTTTAGGAAGAACAGGTAAAGGCGCTTGGAGTTCTTAACGTATGTTGGTGAAAGAGGGATTTATCAACAGAAAAAAAGGTCTCTTTATATAGGACTTGTTATGATTATATAGAATGTTTCTAATTAACTTTGAAAAAAGGCTTGTGATATTTAAATCCTTAGCAAAGTTCAAGTTACTGCCAGAAGTACTATTTTAGTCATGTTTTACTGCTCGTAGTACATAAATAAAATGTTATTGTTTAAAATCAGTGGCTCTTGGATTCCAGATTACTCTTCCTGGAAAGCTAATGATGGCTTTAGAGTTTAATTAATCAATTAATCAATTTAGTCATATAATAACTTAGAAGCCCACCTAGTTTAGTCTGCCAAGCTGTTAGTTTCTCTAGCCAGTAGAAAAGGAATTTTCCTTTTTTCTCTTTCCAGGTGTGGCTTAACCCCTTTCAGTTTTGTGTTTGTTTTTAACAACACATTGCATTCTTAAGATAGAGCTACAGAGATGAACAAAATCACAAAGCCTGGTCTTCCCGCAGGTGCTCGAGTTTGGCTCTTCATTGGTTTCATGTTGATGTTTGGGTCGCTTATTGCGTCCATGTGGATTCTTTTTGGTGCATATGTTACCCAAAGTGAGTATGTCTTCCTGCTTTATTTCATAGAGGTTCAGATATGTCTTTTACATTTGGCTCGGTCCATTACCTTCACCTGGAGTAAAATTTAGTGTAACTATTCACTTAGCTTGAAGATATGACTGTACGAAGATACAGAAGTTGTTGGGTAGAGCGCGAAACCTGTCCTGTCTGCATTCCCTTATACCCAGTTCTAAAATCCACATAGTTCTGAAAGTCAAGGTGTTTTATAACCTTGGCAGCAAAATCTGACTTAAGTTGACAGCGGGCCCCTTATGGTTTTTATTCCATTTATTAAGTATTCAAATGTTTTCTTGCAGAAATGTGGCTCTGTTTGATTGTGGATGCTGGTCTAGACAGAGCTGGGGTGCTATGTAATATTTATGCCTCGGGTTACCATTCTTAAATGTGAAAACATTTGAGTTCCAAAACATACCTTGTCTCAAGGATTTCAGATAAGGGATGTGGACCCCAGTATCTTTCCACCAGTACCTTCTCTCCCCAGCCTGAATGTTTCATAGGTACAGGGGAGGGTTTTTAGGGGTAAGACTGAAAACCTGTGTGTAGTCATGCAGAAATATTGACGCTCACTCCACCCTGGGAGTCTGTTTTTTGGTTGCTCCAGACACCAGGATAGCTTTCCTCCAAGGTGGGGTTGAAAGGCAGGACCCAGTCTCAGCACAGGCTTCTAGAAGCATCAGAACAACCTGTTTCAGGGGCTCTCTCCCTTCCCTCCAAAGATAAGAATCCGTTTCAGATAACATGTAATACCACTTAACTCATCTTCTGATCCCTGTCCCTCTGGAACCTCTTTGTCACTCTGCCGAACTGTCAACATCTCCTTGTCCTTACCCGCAGCTGACCATCTAATACTCTTGATAGGACCCCTTAAGTCTCATAATTTGATCTTTGGAAATCTTTGTCTTTCACTTGTCACAAAAGAAGTCAGTACAAGAGAACAGTGGTTGACTAATGTTTAAGTAATACCGCTCATCAAATATACCTGAAAGGTGTTATTTTAGTTAATTAAGAGTACTAATGGAGGACACAGTTCTCGTATGAAGCTCATGTGAAAGGAAGTGCTTTTTTATTTTTTAATAGTTTATTGTCAAGTTGGTTTCCATATAAGGAAGTGCTTTTTTAAAAGCAGCTTTATTGAGGTATAATTTGCATATCAAGCAATTTACCCAGTTAAAGTGTATGTTTCAGTGATTTTAGTGTGGAGTTGTGCTACCATTGCATAATTCAATTTTAGACATTTTTATCACTCCAAAAAGAAACCCCTCACCCATTAGTAGTCACTCCCCCTTACCTTCTCCACCAGCCCTAGGCAGCCACCCATCTGCTTTCTGTATTTGTGGATTTGCCTATGTCATACAAATAGAATCATATAGGGAAGTGTGTTTTAAGCTCACTTTAGCCCTGACCCTAAGTGTTGTTACTGAGTTCTCGGAAAGTCTACTTGGTTACTTCAAGCAACAGGTGAAACTTTAGTTTCTGCTATGAAGATGTGTGTAAATCATCATTTCTGGAAGGTGTGTAGTGTGGAGCACCAAGTTTGTAAAGGTTCTGCCCTCGTTGACTGTATCTTAATTTTTATCATTTTATTAATTTTTTAATGTTTATTTATTATTTTTGAGACAAAGTGACAGAGCACAAGCCAGGGAGTGGCAGAGAGAGAGGGAGACACAGAATCTGAAGCAGGCTCCAGGCTCTGAGCTGTCAGCACAGAGCGCAACGCGGGGCTTGAGCTCATGAACCATAGATCATGACCTGAGCTGAAGTCGGACGCTGAAGCAGCAGCTACCCAGGCACCCCAAGCATTTTGTATTTCTCGGCAGTAGTCCCCTGCCTCATCCACAGGGGCTAGGTTCCAAGACTCCCATGCATGCCTGAAACTGTGCCTAGTACTGAACCCTAAATATACTATGATTTTCCTATATTTAAGTGCCTATGATAAAATTTAAGTTATAAATTAAGCACAGTAAGAGATTAACCACAATAACTAATAATAAAATAGGATAATTATAACAGTATACTGTAATAGGTTATGTGAATGTAGTCTCTGTCTCCAAATACCTTGCACGGACTCCCCTTTCTTGTTTTTGTGGTAACGGGAGATGATAAAATGTCTCTGTGACAGGCAAAGGGAGGGGAATGACACAGGCATTGTGACCCAGTGTCAGGCGACTCTTGACCTTCTGATGATAAGTCGGAGGGAAGACCATTTGCTCTGGACAGTGGTTGACCACGAGAAGCAACCCTGCAGCTGGGGGAGAGCGTGGTCATGACCATGGAAGGTAAAGGACGAGCTGCTCCTTCCCCAGCCCTCCTGGTGCATCTCCGACCATGGCAGTTACTTTCGGTGAAAAGAAAACCCAATAAGTTCATGGTCTTTTCTCCAGAGTGAATGAGAACAATCCTTTGTTTTGGGAGAACGAGATCGGCCTCTTCAGTTTCATTATAGGTTTCTTAGAGTTGGTGAATAAGAGCTGTATTTTATACAGAGTAGGTCATGACGAATGGCACAAATGCTTTGTTACTGCTGTCGGCCTTCTGTAATCTTGTGACCCGTTTTCCTTTGTGCAGATACGGAGGTTTATCCAGGACTAGCTGTGTTTTTTCAAAATGCACTTATATTTTTTAGGTAAGTTGCCTGATTTCTTAATCACACCCAAAACGTAGACAGAAATGTCACTTCATTTTAAGAGCAGCACATATAATGGAACACATACAATCCCTTGAATTAATTACAGTGCATAGAACTTTTATGAGGTGACAATTCCACTGGTGTCTAAGGGCTTACATAACCCATTTGATTGGGTTCTGCTACGAGCAGAGACCTCAGCTGGGGGATTTGCATATGTTGCCCTTTTAATTCCTATGTAATTGTCTTAAATACGTAATACTTATGAAACAGGTAGTGTTTCTGTTTTACAGATGAGGAAATAAGGCTCAGAGGTTACCAGACACCCAGCTAGTAATTGCAGAGCCAGGATTTGAACCCAGACTACTGCTTCCATAGCCTGTTAAAAAAAAAAAAAGTATCAAGTGTATTTACTAAAAAAAGAAAAACAGGGGCACCTGGGTGGCTCAGTCAAGCATCTGACTCTTGATTTTAGCTCAGGTCATGATCTCATGGTTCCTGAGATCGAGCCCTGTGTCAGGCTCTGTGCTGGGCATCTCTGTCTCCCTCTCTCTGCCCCTCTCTACTCGTGCTTACTTGCTCACTCTCAAAATAAATAAGCTTAGAAAGATAGCAAGAAATCAGAATTAATACATATTATGCATGTCATATACAAAACCTGGCCAGGAAATTGGATTTTTTTAAATTAAGTTTTTAAGCTAACTAAAAATAAGTATAAAAATAAAGCCATATTAAAAGTATTTTTTAGGGTAAATCTTCTGAAAGGAAAAAAAACCCTGCAATGAAGCTCGTATCCTATGCATTCCAGAATGAATGTCTTTTAAGGCAGATAGGTATTTTAGGCATCCATTTATAAATTTAGGACTCCTAGTCTCCCCCACCCCACCCAACCTCACAAAATCATTAAGATCTGAGCCTTGAAGAACTTTGTTTCTGTCGCTGTTTTTAAGTAATCTGATTATGTTGTGCGTGACGTAGTTTTCTTCATATTTATTTTGTTGGAGTTCATCGAGTTTCCTGGGTCTGTGGGTTTAGTTTTCATCAAATTTGGACCCAGCTGGTGTTTCTCCAAAGATTCTTTTCTGTCCATCGCCTTCTTCTTGGATTCCATTCACGTATATGTTGGGCTGCGTGAGTCCTCCCACACTCACTAATGCCTAGAGGTTTTCTGTTTTCGTTTTGTTTCTGTGATTCATTTGGGATACTTTCTATTATTACATCTTGAAGTTCACTAATCTCTTCTGCAGTGTCTCCTATTTCTCCCATCCATCCAGTGGATCTTGCATCTCAGACGTGTGTCTGTCGTCTCCATTAGCTTGATGTTCCAGATTTCTTCTTCACATGCTCATGTTCTCCTCCACCTCCTTGAACACATGAAGTATGTTTATATCTCTTTCTTTTTCTTTTTAAAAATTTTTTCATGTTTATTTATTTTTTAAAGAGACAGAGTATGAATGGGGAAGGAGCAGAGAGAGAGGGAGACCCAGAACCCGAAGCAGGCTCCAGGCTCTGAGCTGTCAGCACAGAGCCCGATGCGGGGCTTGAACTCACGAACTGTGAGATCGTGACCTGAGCTGAAGTGGGATGCTTAACCAACTGAGCCACCCAGGCGCCCCTGTTTATATTCATTTCGATGACCATCTCCTTGTGTCAGTTCTGAATCTGTTCCTGTTGATTATTTCTACTTTCTCTTCATTTTGGGTCTCTTTCCTCCTGTCTGCTTCTTTGCATACAGCTGGTTGGAGGCTGGGTTTTTTGCCATCCCCTTAAACATTTGCGAGCTTTGTTCTGGGTGCATTTGGGTCACTTGGAAATAGTTTGACCCTTTGAGTCTTGCTTTGGTAAGCTTTGGTGGGCGGAGCGAGTGAAGCCCCAGCCTAGGATTGATTTGTCCCCTCACTAAGGCCATACACTTTATGCTTCATGTATTCTGAGGCTTTGCACTCTGCTGAGGGGCCTGGGACGCCTTCCCTGCCCTGGGACGGCTCTGGGGGTTGTTCTTTCCCTTCTCTTGGGTCGTTGGCTCAGTTCATCTACTCATCAGTACTCCACGGAAGACTCAACCGGGGCCTCCAGTATGCCTCCTGAGCTCCCTCTCTCTTTAGCTGTCTCTACTACGCCTCACAGACTCCAGCCAGCCGCTTTGGCCTCCCTGGCTTCCCTAAACCCTCAGCTCCATCTCCTCCATTTAGGGCGACCGCTGTGCTCCACCCTCTTATCACTCTGTGGCCCAGACCCTCGTGACTTTGAAAGATGTTTGACAGTTTCTGCTCTCTTGAGATTGTGTTTCTTGGCACGTGACCAGCAGCCTTCTGGGGATACAGTTCAGTTTTCATGAAGACATCTTGGGCGGTGTTTAGAGACCAAATTTAAATTTGGATTCAGCCCTTTGTGGCAGTAGATGAGGCCCCATAAGGGCAGCTGGGCGAACAGACACCTCGCGCGTGTGAAGGCCTGTGCTCGTGCGGACTGGGGCTGCTGCATCAACTGTGCGCTCTGCCCGGAGCCTGGCAAGTTAAGCAGCCCACCGTGCGCTTCCTCCGTGCTGGGCCTTGCTGGGTACCAGAGTACTTTTCAAATCCAGTACATCCAGACAACTCAGCCTGTGGTCTCGGAGTGTCCCGGCTGTCTGCTCCTCTCCCCGTTTCCCCTGTGCTTTGCTCAGGTCATTCCCACTCTTCCTGTAAATCTCAGCCACTCACCACATTTTCAGGAAGACCTTGACCGCTCTAACTCGGTCAGCTCTTTATAATTCACTCTCTTGGTCTCAGGTGGCCTCGCCTTTACAGCATTTTTTTCTCTGTTGGAATTTGATTATCTTCCTCAGGCTCTCAGCTCTATTACTGCTTTGCCTTGCTTTGACTCCGATATTCCTAACACTTAGCCCAAGGCCTGCTGCCTAGCCAGTCCTCAGGGTACAGTAATTATATGTTAAATGAACGAGGAATTGCTGCACCGCCTGTTTTAGGCTTCTTCAGCTACTGTAGCTCAGGTGTGGTAGAATCCTAGAGATAGAAAGGGCCCCTCTGCCTGTCTCTGTATAAATGCCTCTTTGCCTTACAGGTTTCCTATCTAAGAACTTTCCAGGCTTTAAAGAAAGTGTAATCAAGCTTAGCCATCAAGGTCAACAAACTGCTCTATAAAACAGGCACATTCAGACCCAACATGATTGCAGTCTTTATTTTTATTTATTTAAAAATTTTTTAAGTTTATTTATTTTTAGAGAGAGAGAGCACGTGCAAGTGGGAGAGGGGCAGAGAGAGGGGGAGAGAAAGAGAGAGAGAGAGAGAGTGAGCATTCCAAGGAGGCTCCACGCCAAGCATGGAGCTCAACATGGGGCTCGATCCTGCAACCCTGGGATCATGACCTGAGCTGAAATCAACAGTCAGACGCTTAACCTACTGAGCCACGCAGGTGCCCCTGCAGTTTTTATTTTTAGAAATTGATCACAGAAGAACCAGTGAGGTACCTGTCAGAGCCTATTTAGAAAATGAATCCATTGTTGCCCATCCCCTGTGTTTTTTCCTCACGATCTATTTTAATATCTTTCTAGCACCCTGATCTACAAATTTGGAAGAACTGAAGAGCTGTGGACCTGAGAGCACTTCTTACACCAGATTTCCTTTTGTTTTGTTCTATTTGTAGATAAGTTTTCCTCTCTCAACATAATTTACACATTGCCAAATGGGATCGATTGTACATTACATGTTTTGTTTCTTTACACTTTGATGCTCTGAGTTTTGAAATAGTTTTATGAAATTTCTGTCCTTTTTTTAAATCACAGAATAGATTGTTAATATGTACATAATGTATACAGCTGGGATGGTGAGTATCAGTTTTTTTTTTTTATTCCCGAAGACTTACAGCTTGACCTATTCCCTGAGCCAGTGTTGTATCTTCATGTCATTTTAGAGTCAACTGTTTTGCTTAGTATCTTTAATTTCCGAAGATGTGCACAAAATACAGCTCCATGTATCTGGAATAAGCACTGAGCCATTCGAAAGGGTATTTCAGCAAGTTATAATTTATTTTGGCTTAAAAATGAGATTTTTTTAAAGGAAAAATGTTTGTTCTTCTGTATTAAAGTAGTGGACTTTTATGTGAAGATTTTTTAAATGCTTGAAGGCCTAGTTTGAAAGCCTCTTTTAAAAAACAATTCCTCTAACATGACTTTGTTCAAGAAGGGATAATAAATACGTGATCAGATGAGCTCAGTTTCACACGGCTGATGCGAAAAGGCCGGATAAGGCAGCCCAGCTACATGCTTCTTGTAAAGGCAGCTCCAATGATCTATCTAACGGGGTTCTCCCTTGGCAGAGGCTGTTATGAGCTGATGTTACAAAATTCAGCCTCAAGCAAGTGTGACCCAACTGCGGTTGAAACGCATGAACCATATACCTAAAAGTGGAATCATTAGTCTCAAGATAAAGCACTTCTTCCCAAAGGGAATGATGATCTAGTGAAATATTAGACGCTCCTTCCACTTAGTTACCGGCCGCCAGGGTCTCTGCGCTAGCTCTCAACTCTCCCTGCAAAATGCACCATTAACCTCAAAGCCCACGTTCCGGTCGAAAATCTTCTTTTGCTGAGTTTGAAACGGCTGACTTTGAAACACTGCTTTTGCACGGCGGATATTCCTATGAGAGATGTCCAAGGGATAGCTGGGTCTTAATGGCTATTTTTGCTTTCCTTATACAGGCTTTGTGTAGCATTTTTTTTTTCCCTCCAGAGGGATTTTATAGCACCTTTTGTTTTAAGACAGAATAATAGTGATGGTATTAATATCAGCTCCTAACGTAAGCCTTACTTTGTCTAACCTCTCTCCTCTCCGAGAGGACTGACCTGCGCACAGAGTATGAAGCGGTTGTGGAAGGCTGTGCCTTTGCCGTTAAGTACTTCTCCCTCTGTTCTCGTTTTCCCTCACAATGTCAGTAAACTCTGTCTTGCTTCCAACAAGTTGTAAGACTGTTTGTTTCCACCTTCTTGTAACATGTAGCAATAAATATTACTTCTCACTCATTCCAGTCTTGCTACATCAGCTGGAGAAGATGAACCATAAAAATTGGCCTGCTCCTTTTTCAGTTATTCAGGTGGCTCCGGTCAAAGAAGCAGTTTATCTTTAGAACAGAAAGAGAAACACATGATACTATGATTTGTAAAATGCTAGCGCGAAGGCTAACGACGAGTGTGCTGGAAAATCACTGGAAAATAGTGGCTGTTTTTCTTGATTCTGCTATGAATTTGTTTTGTAATTGTGAGCAAATCACTTAATTTCCCTGTTTGTTGACTCACTTAAAAAAAAGGAGGTGGGGTAATGTTAGTATCCACTCTTGCAGATATTGTGAGTTAGAAAAGTTAGAGTCCTTCAAAATCATTTACAAATACATGTGACTCTCTTAATATAAAGCTCTCCCTGGGGCACCTGGGTGGCCCAGTGGGTTAAGTGTCCAACTCTTGATTTCAACTCAGGTCATGATCTCATGGTTGGGTGAGATCCAGCCCTGTGTTGGGCTGAGTGTGGGGTCTGCTTGGAATTTTCTCTTTACCCTTCCCGTGCCCATGCTCGCGCTCTCTCTCTCTCTCTCTCTTTCAAAAATAAAAAATAAATTTAAAACTCTGTCAAACAGGTTCAGTGGCTGTTGAATCTGAATCTTTTGGTGTTTGTGTATAGACTAGTATTACCAGAACATTCTATTTTACTATACTGTTTCTAAGATCCTTGTATTCCTTGTGTTGTTGCTACTGATGAAAAAATAGAGGCTAGGGGCGCCTGGGTGGCTTAGTCGGTTAAGCGTCCGACTTTCGCTTAGGTCATGATCTCGCAATTCGTGGATTCGAGCCCCGCGTTGGGCTCTGTGCTGACTGCCAGCTCAGAGCTTGGAGCTTGTTTCGGAGTCTGTGACTCCCTCTCTCTCTGACCCTCCCCTGCTCACGCTGTCTCTCTCTCTCTCTCCTAGAAATAAATAAAAAAAACATTTAAAAAAATTTTTTTAAAAAATAGAGGCTAAATTCTTCCATTATATAAATTGTAACATGTATCAACATAATGAAGTAGCAAGGTTGAAGACTGAAAGATTGATGTTATCAAGCCATGTAACCCCACCCAGGGGGTTGACATAGATGCATTCAGCTCTGGTTCTCAACATTTTTCCATGATGGAAGGCTTTTCAATCATAATGTCAATTCAGGAACATTTTTTTTCATTTTAGATTTAATTCATGAAATAATGGCTGCCAGTCTTACAAATTTATCCCTATTTTCCCTGTACTCTCTTGTCATCACACTCTCATTTTGATTCTGTTTAAAGCTTATTAAAGTTTGGGGCTACTTTTATACAATCTCAAGTAACACCCTATTAAATCCTGAGGGAGAAAACATGCTAATTTTGTTCTGCTCTGAACAGTTCATCACATTTTGTTGTGAACAGCTGTGCAGCTTAGCACACTCTGTTCACTGTGAAGCAGAAACTACTTGAAGTAGAGATTATTATGAGTTACTTAAAAAATTTTTTAAAAAATATTTATTCACCTTTGAGAGTTGGAGAGAGACAGAGCATGAGTGGGGGAGGGGCAGAGAGAAAGGGAGACACAGAATCTGAAGCAGGCTCCAGGCTCCGAATTGTAAGCACAGAGACCATGAGATCGTGACCTGAGCCGAAGTCAGACACCCAACCAACCGAGCCACTCAGGCACCCCTATTTGAGTTACTTTAAAAATAATTTCTTAGTAATCTATACACCCAGCACGGGGCTCAAACTCACAACCCTGAGATGAAGAGTCCCATGCTCTACCCAGTGAGCCAGCCAAGTGCCCCCTCGAGCTACTTTGTTGTTTTTCTTACTTCTTTGGTTGAAAACAAAGGAATAGCCTGAAGTGATTGATAGATTCCATCCCAGCGCCCTGTTTCTTAAGGCCAGTTTTCTGCTCCACATGGATTGCAGACGTGTACTGAGAATGGGGTCTCCGGGTGTCATGTGAAGCCAGACTCGCCCACACAGGCCGATCCCAGAGGGCAGGGAGAGGCAGAACAAGGAGGCAGGCCAGCCAGCCTGGGAGGTGGCCAGTTTAATAAGCAAGGGGAACTCGCCACTTGGGCGGCCGCCAGATAAATGGATCCCTGCACCCGCCCCAACACCAAATCTTAAAAGTTGATAAAAAGGCCCCAAGCGGGTCAGTCACGGGTATGCATGGTGTTCTCAACAACCCCCTCACCATCTCAAGGTCGTGTCCTTGGAGCAGCCTCTGAGAGGGAAACACCAGTGGAAGCCACACTCCAAGGACAGGGAAGGGCGAGAGGAGCCTCCAAGAGCCCGGGCCTGCCCTCTAGTCAACTGGCAGTCACATCTTTTGAGTGACACACCTGCCCCAACAGATGTTCTGTGCCCTCACGCCGACTCTTTTCATTCACTGGTTTGGAGGTAGGAATTTTATCTGTTGTTGTTAATGTAGGCTCCACACCCAGTGTGGAGCCCAATGTGGGCCTTGAACTCATGACCCTGAGATCAAGACCTGAGCTAAGATCAAGAGTCAGACATTTAACCAGCTGAGCCACTAGATGCCCCCAGAAGTAGGAACTTTTTTTTAAATTTTTTAAAATGTTTTTTTATTTATTTCTGAGAGAAAGAGAGACAGTGTGAGCAGGGGAGGGTCAGAGAGAGAGGGAGACACTGAATCTGAAACAGGCTCCAGGCTCTGAGCTGTCAGAACATAACCCGACGCGGGGCTTGAACCCACGAACCGTGAGATCATGGCCTGAGCCGAAGTCGGACGCTTAACCGACTGAGCCACCGAGGCACCCCCGGAGGTAGGAACTTTTATCTGGAGATGTTAAGTAACTTGCCGTCAGCCTGGGGTCACCACTCAGGACCTTTCCTCCTGAGTTTTCGGCCCTGCCCTTCCCTCAGCGAGCACCCCCAGCAACACTGGAGCTCCTTGGGGAGCACAAGTGCCGTGGGCAGAGCCGCTCGGGAATCCTTCGGCTGAACCAGGTTAAAACATTTTATTTTTTGTGAAGCTGTTGAAAAAAAATTTTTAATGTTAATTTTGAGAGAGCGTGCGCACGCGAGCGGAAGAGGGGCAGAGAGAGGGAGAGGGCTCTGCACTGTCAACACACAGCCTGACGCAGGGCTCGAGCTCAGGAACTTGTGAGATCATGACTGTTATGCCGAGAGACACAGACAGAGACCCACCGAGACCACTGAAGCCGAATTAAGGGAGTCTTTATTACCGGCCGGGACCGCACAGAGTTAACACAGAACTCTACATGTGCAGCCTCAAGTCCTAGGACTTAGGGCTTTTTATAATAAGCAAGGAGGCAAGTGGGCAGTATAGACGCAGAATCGAGCGGTTATTGTAAAAAGGCTACAAAGTGATGAAGAGAGCGGCCCTTATCCTGATGGCAAGGTTTAGGGTCATGGGGGGCGGGGGGTCTCAAAGGATAGTTATTACCTCAAGGACAGAGTATGCTAGCTGTGTCATAAATAACCATTAGCAGGGGACATGAACCCTTGTCTTCTTATTTCTTTTCTCCTTGCACCTGAGGATAGTCATGTAAACCTCCGAGTGCAGGCCCAGAAGGTAAACTCTGAGTCAGGGTGGAAGAGCTGAGGCTAAATTCATGTGCAGCAATGACCCGAGTTGAAACCACGGCTTGGTGACTGAGCCACCCAAGCTCAATAAAGTTTGGGTTTGTTTGTTTTTTTTTAATATTTATTTATTTTTGAGAGAGACACACACACAGTGCAAGTGGGGGAGGGTCAGAAAGAGACACACACAGAATCACAGCAGGCTCCGGGCACTGAGCTGTCAGCACAGGGCCTGATGTGGGGCTTGAACTCACAAACCATGAGATCAGACCTGAGCTGAAGTCAGACGCTTAACCAACTGAGCCACCCAAGTGCCCCTAAAGTTTTTTTTTTAATTTATTTATTTAAGTAATCTCTATGCCCATTGTGGGGCCCAAACTTACAGCCCTGCAATCAACAGTCGCATGTTGTGACTGAGCCAGCCAGGCAGCGCCCCTCTGTAAAGTCTTTTCTTAAGAGCGTCTTATAACATTTATTTAGTTTTGAGAGACAGAGAGAGAACATGAGCAGGGGAAGGCCAGAGAGAGAGGGAGACACAGAATCCGAAGCAGGCTCCATGCTCTGAGCTAGCTGTCAGCACAGAGTCTGACGCGAGGCTCAAACCCACGGACCTCAAGATCATGACCTGAGCCAAAGTCGGACACTTAACTGACTGAGCCACCCAGGTGCCCCAAGAGCTTCTTATAAAATGTGCATTGTGCGTTTTTAGGAGGGAGGTCTCAGTTCTGTGGTGTTTTCCATACTTGAGACTTGCAAATGTGCCTCCTAGAAGACTTTGAGAAATAAAATTTGGGGAAATGGCTGGAACAGTGGGTTTAGAAGAAGAGACTGAATGCAGGAAATTAACAAAAGCAGAGGGCAGCTCAGGTCCACGGGATGTGGTGGCCTCGGGAAGAGCACGTGGCCAGCCTGACACCGAGAATAACACTGGGGAGGACGGAGATAGTAGAGTCTTTCCAGTGGCCTTGTTGCTAGAGATTTCTGGGTTTGGAGGTGGAGTTCTTCAGGAACTATTCATTTACGTTTAGGTTAGTTTACTTCTCCCTAAGTCTGGCCTTACCACATATTAGCTCTGTGACCCCAAGACTGTTTTCCTATCTGTTAAGTGTTGTTTGAGAATGAACACAAGCAAGTGGCCGATATAGTGCCTGCAAGCCGTAAGTGCCCAATAAATGCGAGCCCGTGGTGCCTGGGTGGCTCAGTCGGTTGAGCAACTCGATTTCTGCTCAGGTCATGATTCCAGGGTGGTGGGATCAAGGCCCACGTCAGGCTCCCCACTGAGCATGGAGTCAACTTAGGCTCCTCTCTCCACCTCTACCCCACTCACTCTCTTTCTCTAAAAAAATTAAATAAATAAAATGAAACAAAACAATAGTGCGGGCTCTTATCTCTCCCGGATGGCTTTGCCCAAAGGGCCATTTCCTTCCTAATTCAGTGACTTTTTAGCCTCTCGGTACTGGGCAGTGTGCCACCTGAAAGAAAAACAGCCTAGAGTCCGTTGGTTTTTGTTTTGTTTCGAGCCTGCCCGTGCTTATTTTTTATAGTAGTTTTAACACCGCTTATGTCATTTACATAGGGTTTTCAGGTGATGATCCATGCCTCTTCCAGATACTTTAAATTTCTACAAGTAGGTGTGGTGGGGCAGGGTGAGCCTTCCACACCCTCACGGGGCACGCAGGGAGCACTGGTCCTGGATTTGGGAGAGTCTATGCCAAGCGCCGAGAAGTGGTTCAGGATGAGGTTATGTGTATTTGCCTCCATTCTGAAAGTTGTGAATTTAGAGATTAATTTATTGAACTCACTTCAGACTTCCAGGCAAGTTCTTGAACAGCCAGCACTGACCAGAGCCCTGTCCCTGGCCACATGCTGCTGCAAGGGCCTGGGTCATGCCCTCCGGGGGCAGCCAGCTGTCACCACAGCTGGAAGTGAGGAAGAAGGAATCACTTTCACCGTGTTCCCATCAGAGGGCACTGGCTTCTTATGAAGGTCTGTGAGCAGCAGGGAAGAGTGAGTCTGACTGCATCATGGGAAAACGCCTGGGTGGATTCTCACTCTCACCAGACAGTGAAGACAGTTTTGGGTGTTATTCCAAAATTCAGGCTTTTTGGGGCACCTGGATGGCTTAGTTGGTTGAGCGCCTGACTTCCGCTCAGGTCATGATCCCATGGCTTGTGGGTTTGAGCCCCGCATCGGGCCCTGTGCTAACAGCTCAGAACCTGGAGTTGCTTTGGATTCTGTATCTCCCTCTCTCTCTGCCCCTCCCCTGCTCACGCTCTCTCTCTCTCTCAAATATAAATAAACATTTTTTAAAAATTCGGGCTTTTTGGCATATAGCAAATTGATTTTGGGAGGACCCTGGGGGTTCCTCAAAGACATAGGGAGTTGTTTTCCAGTAGCTGAAAGTTTAGGGCACAACTAGCAGGGGGTGCCTGGGTGGCTCGGTCAGTTAGGCGTCCCGCTCTTGATTTCGGCTCAGGTCATGATCTCATGGTTTGTGGGACTGAGCCCCGCCTTGCACTCCACGTGCTGACCGCGCGGAGGCTGCTTGGGATTCTCTCCCCTCCCCTGCTTGTGCTCCCTCTCTCTCTCAAAGCAAATAAACATTAAAAAAAAAAAAAAAAACCACTATCAGTGGAAATAAGTGATTGTAAGTGAAATAAAGGTCATAAAGGCAGATGTGCCAAGCACCAGCTAGGAACTGAGCTGTGCTCTGCACTGGACATTTCTGGGTGACAAGGCAGTAGCCGTTTCTCCAGCGCATCAGCCGGTGTCCTGCAGATACAGAGAAAGTCTTCTTTATCTGCCCTACCCTGCCTCCATCTCCTGCCCGGAGAGGCTCTCCCCTCCCCACCCCAATGCCCATGGGCCTCAGCACCATCCAGAATAACCAGGGCCTGCTGACAGCCATCTGCAGGGCTGAGCACTGTGGGACCCCCAGGGGGCGCTATTCACCACACAGGAATAGAAGATTAGAAAAATCATGGCACTTGAAAGCAAAAGGTCTCAAAGGCTGGGTGTCTAATGCACACAAAGGTACCCTACAGGCTAGAGGTGGCCTTGATCCAACCAGCCCATCATCTCTGGGTGCCCCATTCTTGGTATAAGGCCCACTCTGCTGGTCTGCATACTCCTAAACTCGGCATCCAACCTTCCCTAGGACAAGGTGCATAACGTGCTTTATGGGATACTTGCAAGAATTAAATATCTCCTCTCCTGTATATGACCCGAAATAAGATGCTCTCAGTGTCAAATGGCGTCTTGCTGGGACTTAGTATACATTTATGCCGTGGGGATGGGTCTGTTTTCTCTTGCACAACAAGCACTTCATTGTTTAGATCAAGGGTCATCAAACTCTCTCAGGAAAGGGCCAAGCAGTAAATATTTTAGGCTTTGTAAGTATTCAGCCCCTGTTGCAACTACTTAGTTCTGCCGTGCAGGGCAAAAGTAGCCAGAGATGGTTCATAAAAAATGAACATCAGAGGATTCCAGTAAAAGTTTATTTATGGCCACTGAAATATAAATTTCATATACTTTTCGTGTGTGATGAAATACTATTCTTTTGATTTTTTTTTCCAACCATTTTTTTAAGTTTGTTTATTTTAAGGGGGGGGGCGCCGAGAGAGCATGAGCAGGGGAAGGGCAGAGTGAGAGGGGAAGAGAGAATCCCAAGCAGGGCTCTCGATGCTGGGCTCCAGCCCGTAAACCATGAGATCACAACCTAGGATGAAAGAAAGAGTCAAGACGCTTAACCAACTGAGCCACCCAGGCGCCCCCCTTTCTAGCCATTTCAAGATGTACGAACTATTCTTAGCCTACAGACTGCACAAAGACAGGGGCAGGTTGCACTTGGTGCATGGGCTGTGGTTTGCCCTCTTAGAAATGATTTATAAGACTGCTTCTGACCCAAACATTTTATGGTCATGTACTTAGCTTGACTAGACATTAAAGTGCCAAGTTAGTATAAGTATTAATTCCACTGATTAGCCATTTATTTTACACAGTAGCACCAGGTGTGGTTTTTTTGGAAGATGTATAAAAAAGGGGAGTCTTACTCGAACAACTGTCGCCCTTTCTCCCCAGCCCCATGCCTCCTCGGGACACTTACCGAGTTAGGACGCTGAAGAGCGGCAGCGCGTTTGGAGTCCTGGGGAAGCCAGTTTGATGTTACTGGCATCCTCTCCCCTATAATGCGATGGCATCGGAGAGCCTGGCCCCAGAGAGCCGCCTGAAAGTACTGCTGCCTCTGGGTTTGGGCTCTGAGTCGTCACTAGCATAAGCCGCTGCCTTCAACTAAGAAGGGCCTCTCTGGGCCTCAGCCACAGAGACCTGCTCCGGGACAGTCCACCGAGTCTGCCCTGAGGCCAAGTTCAGCCTTAGCAGAATCTGGTCCCCACAGCCAGCCTGCTGGCCCCTGACTAGCTGTCAGTTAACTCCCTTTTACACAGGGTGGCATTTCTAAGCTTACTTTCCGGTGGAATTGATCTGTCCCCCTTTCTGCTGGCCTCAAACTCTTAGCCTGCTTTCTGCTACATCCTCCCACCCTCACAGGGCTTCACCCCACGGTCCAGCAGAGGAAGCTCTTCTATCTTAAATCTCCTGAACGATCCTAAATGCGGGTGTGCACAGTCTCTATCTGCCTGCCCATCCCTACTAGATAATGCAGATCTCTCCCGAGGGGACTTGTGTGGCGTGGGGGCTGTGGATGGTGGTCCTTTTCTCTCTTGTTACTCTGGGCAGCATGGTTCACAGCACTCGGTCAGAAAGTCAGCCCGAGAACCAATTTTTCCCCAGTGGCACAGCCCCCAAATGAGGGAGGGATGGTGGTCCCATCAGTTAGTGTTAGAAGCTTCATATGCCCATAGTCAGCGTCTCTCCTTCCCAGCGAGGTTAGGCCACCAGTAGGGTTTCTTGGTAAAGCCAACCTTACAGCAACGTATTCCTTTGTGTGTGTGTTTGGGGAGGGGCTGTGAAGCTCCACATCCATTTCCTAAATGCAATGAGTCATATAAATGGATTTTTAATCCGTATCCTTCGAACAAAAGAACTTGTCAATGCTTACATAATCAGAAGACGTGCGTGCCCCCAGCGGGTATCACTGCTGTCCATTAGCGAATTCTCTTTACTGCCTACAGGCCTTGGTCAATATACGACTCCTCAGGAGTGAAATGCTAATGTGACTTCTGAAAGTGCCCTTCCCCCACCCCCTAAGGAATCACGTGACATGCATAGACCATGCTCGCTGAGGAACCACGAGGCCTCCGTAGCTCTACTGGGTATTACTTAAGAAAACAAAAACTTAGATATAGTAATTTTTAAAAAGTTGAAAACTTTGTAGAAAATAGGCCAAAAATAAAGAAGGTGAAACGGAGAGCAGAAACTTCACTTTGACTTTTAAAAAGTTAAAGTCTTTTATTCCTAGCTTGAAAAAAATGGGCTTAAATTACCAGGAAACTATTTACAGGACTAATCACATTTTAAGGCGGGAGACTGGATATGGACAAGGGTCACTCGATGTTCCTCATTGGGACAGCCTGGGACAGGTTACATGACCTGCCCGAGGGGCCGCAGCCCACTCGCCAGGGTCAAGGGGAGGAGCAGGTGTCCTCCCTGCTGATGAACAAAACCTCAGAGGCGTACCAGAGTCATTTTGCTAACAGGTATGTGTCTTTTTAGTGTTTAAGAGAAGTCTTAATTATTCTGGGCTATTGCTGTAGAATCATTCTGGGAACTTGTATGATTAGAAAACTCTAGAGACGAAAAAACAAGCTTGTCTCCCCCACGAGACCCGTGACGTCTTCCCAGGCACCAGCGGGCTTGGCGGGACAGGGATATGGAGTGCTGGGCTCTGTCAAGTCCCGACACGGACATCAGCTGCGTCGTCGGCTCAGAGCCCTCATCCCACAGGCTGCTGGACCGGACCAGCGCTTTGGTTCAGAGTACTTTGGAGAACATCTTCTTGCTCCTTCTCTGGAAACGAAACAATGGACACAGAGTCCCAGGCATCGTCCTTTGGCGAGCTGTCCTTGTCCAGGGCCTCTAAGATAGGCTGAGTCGGGTCCTTTAAATACTTGAAAAGATTGAAAACCAACCCTGTAATTAGTTTCTCGGCTCAAAATACCGGACTTTCTACTTCACATTTACTTGGCATGGTCCTATCTTCCTCAGGTCGGACTTCCTATCCTGGTGACCACGGAAAGAGCTTCTAAAATGAGAGCGCCCCTCGCCCCTCACCCCCACCCCTCCTGTCATTAATAACCTGACCACGAATCCGAGGGCCCACCAAGGTCATGCCATAACTTGGGAAAAGCAAGCTCTGACTTGCAGGCTTGGGGACCGCTCTCCCTGAAATGTCTCTGGAATTTAACCTTCCGATGAAGGAGGAGGCAGTGGGGAAAAGGGTCTGTTCCAGCTCACCCAATGCACACCAAGCCAAGAAGCCGGGTGTGCAGCAGAATGGTCAGCGCGGCCTCCCGGGCAGGGGTGAGGCAGTGGGGGCCTCGAGGCACAGAGCTGTTTCATGGCGGCCCACTTGCCCCCTCCCTCCCACCTCACTCCAGGCTGAGCCTTCGCTTTACCGCTGAGCAACCGAGACACCCGTACCCAGAGACACCGGAACACGCAGTGAGCTGAGAGCTGACTAAGGGCAAGAGGAAACGTAAACGAATCACGTACACTTGTGAAACCCCCCAAAACACAAGTGAAAACTAGTTCATTATTCTCGTGTAACTTCAAGGCCCTTTGATAGATTTTTCACACTTTCCCGGGAGAGTAAACTCAAAGACTTTCTGTTTCAGATCCACGCCCCAAAGGGACGACGTCACCCGGGGTCATGCTGCTCGCTCTACTGTGAGAGAGAAATGAATGCAAGGAAGATTCTGAGACCCCTTGAGAGCTGTTATTTTGTGAAAATACTAACCAGTGGGAAACGCGGGGTGTGTGTGTGTGCACGCGATGCTGGGTGTGTGTGTGTGTGCGCATGCGTGCATGTGTGAAGAACACTCAACATGAGTTCTACCCTCGTAACAAATTTTTAAGTGTACAGTACAGTACTAATTATAGGCAGGATGATGTACAGCAGATCTCCAGAACTTACTCTTCTTGCCTGACTGGAACCTCGTATATTCAATAGCGACTCCCCGTGCCCGCCTCCCCTGGCAACCACCATTCTATTCCAGCTTCTGTGAGGTGGACTATTCTAGATGCCTCACGTAAGTGGAATCAGGCAGTATGGAGGTTCTAGCTGGGAACGTAACATGTAATCCGTACCATGTCTGTGTACTTTAAATACCTCGTGACAGATGAAGGCCAACAAGGGACTACAGATCCTTCTAGAAGCACTACTGTTTCTCTATCGACTTGGACCGTATTTAATACCTATTCCTACTGGCTGTGACACAGTAAGATTCTACTTCCGGTCCCTTTACCCCAAGTTGACTGCTAATAAACCTTCAGAAGCAAATATCTTTAAATAATCTTCTATCAGCTCGCTTCTGACCCTAAGCATGACCCTTTGGTGTTTTCGGGGGGCAGGAGGGGGCTCTCCTCCCTCATGGAGCCTTGGGGGTGGGGTGGGGAGTGGAGCTATGCAGGAAATCAACTTCTCACGAGAACCTGTCCACTCTTCTTCCTCAGGCCTTTCAAAACACTAGTAACATCCAGTGAGCCCTTGGTACGCAAAGTTCTGCCTGCAAAGCCCTGGGTGCTTTTTCTCTAGAATCCTTCTAAGTGTGCACATCTGCCCCCCAGCCTGTGCTCTCGATCCCCGTCTTCACTGCCTTCCCATCCTCTTCCAGGCCTCCTGGAGGTTTTCCCCAAAAGGCGCAGGTCTGATGTGCTGCTACAGGCAACCTTGGCCATGCTGGGCCAGACTACTTTTTTCAACCTCATGCCATTAAAAGAAAAAAATGGTTTTAAATTGTGGTAAAATACACATAACAGAGAACTTACATCTTAACTATTTATGTGTACTGCTCACTGGTATAAAATACATTCACCCTGTTGTATAGCCCTCAGCACCATGTGCAGGACTCGTTTTTAGTTTACAAAACTAAAACTCTGTACCTATTAAACACTAACTCCCCACTCTCCCCTCCCCACCCAGACCCTGGCCACCACCACTCTCCTTTCAGTCTCCCTGAATTTGAGTCCTCGGAGTACCTTATGTAAGTGGAATCATACAGTGTTTGTCTTTTTTGTGACTGGTTTATTTCACCTAGCGTGCTATGCTCAAGATTCATCCATGTTGTAGCATGCAGCAGAATCTCCTTCCTTTTTTATGGCTGCGTACTATTCCATCGTAAGGGTATACCACATCTTGTTTATCCATTTTCCTCACCAACAGAAACTTAGGTTGCCTCCACCATTTGGCTGTTGTGAATAATGCTATGAACATGGGTGTACAAATAACCCTGCACCACTTTTGACTGAAATCGCTGTGCTCATGGCTTTGTCCGCCACTGTACTCTTAAGTATTACCAGGGGGCTGTGGAGTGCTGACAGGTCACCCACTAGATGTGTGCACACATACCTCTTCTATTTGTAATGGGATGCTTGGTGGAGAGTGAAACCAGTATTTCACCAGGCCTCTGTATTTCAGGACCAGGAAGAAACAGGCCGCCGCGAGCATCGACAAGAACACGAAGAGTCCCACAGCAATCATGATGACTTGCTGGAGTTTGGTGGTGGCTGAAAAGGTGACGTGGAAGTAAACATGAGGCCCATCCCACAAATGATACAAACGTCGGTAATTTCTCACCTGCCAGCTGCTTAAAGAGTCTGTTTCCTAGTGAAATGGGCAGATACTGGCCCCTCTCCACCCAGCCTCACATGCTTAAATGAATAACTCGGAAAAGCAATCCTAAAATAAAGCAGTGTTCGCTGTCTGGTGGTGGTGTTATGGTAGATCTCAGCATGAACTTGTTTTACCTACACTTAGTGCTCACTTCTCACCCCTTCTCTCTGGGTCTCCCCACTCCTACCACCCTTCACCCTTCACCTAACAAGCCACCCCCGGTTTCACTACTTGGGGAGTATTCTTTTCCCAGCTCAGAAAGGACATAAGAAGGTATGTTACCGTCCATTGTTGTCTGGTAGCAAGATACGTCGCTTAAAGGTCCAGGTCTAAAGACATTCGATTTTTTACAAACCAGATGCGCTTTGACTTGTAAACAGTATTCTCTTAAGGGTTTCAAATCATTCAACTCAATGGAGGTGCTCCTGAAAGGGCCTTTAACCTATGTCAAAAACACCAAGAAGCACAAATGTAAATTTCCCAAACACAGATAGTGGAGCACTCCTAGCTTTTTCCAACATTGCCCCAAATTCACAGAGAACACAAAAACCAAATTAATTAGTGAATTATGTAATCAGGAAACAGCGGGATTCTGGATTCTTGAGGATTCTCTCTCTTCCCCACACCTGCTGCTGCCTGCCTCGGGCCTCGCTAACTCCCCACATGGATCCCTCTAGTCAGCGGCTTCTCGTCCTCCTCCTGGACAAGGCTGACATTGTTCCACGGGAAACAGGGAAAAGATATATACTGGCAACATAGGATTTCTTACAAGGAATTTTGAGATAGGGTAGAAAACACTATCGCCATTTGAAATGGTGGGATTACCTATGTTCATTATTACCATGTAGATGCAGCTGCTGTAGTAATGACTGAAGAAAGGCAATTATTCAACAGTATAGAGAAGATCTTATTTTGAAAAATATAAAGTCATCACATTACTTATGAACTGTAGGATCATAGATGATTCCTCGCCCCCCCCCCCCCCCCCCCCCCCCCCCCGCCCCACTTCTGTTTAATGGTGATGGACTGCCAGGACAGAGGAGAGAAATTTTCGCTCCAGATACCACATAAAGCAATTTTAGGGACAGACTTCTTCTGGGGATTATTTCCACTGCCAGTTGGCATTTCTAAAATTTAGAATCACAGAGTACAGAGACTGAGACCGCTGTCCTTGGAAGATCTGCTTGCAAGAGTAACTAGCCATCGCTGGCATCTGAGAACTTGGAATCGAGGAGTGCCCCCGCCATCCGCTAATATTAGCACCTTCTCGTACCTACAATGTTTTTTATGCTGAACACCTGCTCTCCTTCTGGGAGTCTGGACTGTTGACATGTGCTTGGGAGAAGAGGCCTATATAACCAATGAAAACTCTACTAGACAGCATTACACACGTTGCCACAGCTTGTCGTTGGAGTAATTGTGTCCTGGGTGGGTCTATCGGGAGAGGATTCTTGGAAGCTTGTGTCTGGAATCCTCTGGACTTTGGCCCATGTAACTCTCCCCTTTGCTGGCTTTGCTCTGTGTCTTTTTGTAATAAACCATAGCCATGAGTACAACTATATGCCAAATCCCATGGGTCGTTCAAGCAAATCTAGGGGCTGGTCTTGGGGATCCCCTGACACAGACTCACAGCTGGAATGGAGATACTTCAGTGGCTTTCAGAGTTATTTGAGACCTAGAATCTTTTGTTCATAGAAGGCCAAAGTACAGCTGCTCTAGCTGATAGCGAAACCGGGGAATCCCTTCTGGAATCTTCCAGGCCTTCTCTATTCCAGTTGACCAGACTTTGATCTCTGATGTGGGGAAATGACTATTTCCTTTTCTCTCCAATGGTAAGAGTCTATTCTTCAGTGACTTTTGCCTGCCTCCATGTTTTTAGACTCACCATAAAGAAATGAGGAGAAAGTACAAATTTGTAAACCACGTCAGAGAAAAATTGCAGAGCATGAACCCTGGGGCCAGAATGTCTCTGCACTGATGTGCTAGCTGTCAGCCGCTGACCTTGAGCAAGTTACTTAACCACGTGGTTTCCTTCTCTGTGACATGGCTTGGTACAAAGACTGAATGAGATGGCGTATCTAAAATGTATGGCCCAGTGCCCAACACAAAGAAAGGCCTCGATAAACACAAGAGCTTATTATAAAACACCATAATTGGGGCACCCGGGTGGCTCAGTCAGTTGAGCGTCCGACTTCAATTCAAGTCATGATCTACCTCATGATTCACAGGTTCGGGCCCCATGTTGGGCTCCGCGCTGACAGCTCAGAGCCAGGAGCCTGGCTCAGATTCTGTGTCTCCCTCTCTCTCTGTCCCTCCCCCATTTGCGCTCCCTCTCTCTCTCAAAAATAAATATTAAAAATAAATAAATAAGTAAATAAAACACTATAATTGTTTCACAATATGTAAGTCATTATGCTGCTTAAACTTATACAGTTATGGATGTCAATTATATTCCAATAAAACTGGAAAACACAGCAAAGTTACAATGTTGAACTTAGGAAACCATGATGTTTCCACAGATAATAAAACCTCATGATGTGCAGCCTGGATGGCCGGGCACTGCGGACGCTCTGAGGAGGACATCATGTGTCCTCGTACTGTGTAAGGCTGACAGGCTCTGCTGGTCTGACCCCCCCCCCCCCCCCCCCCGCCAGGCGCGCTGCCTGCCACAGCCCCTCCTCGTGTGGCCTGCATTTCTAACAGACCCTGGCGACTTGCAGGTCTCCAGCCACGGCTTCTCACAGCCTCCGTCCTTCTCCCTAGAGCCCCTCTCTCCTTCCAGAAGACTTTTCGCCTGGTCACATATGCTGTCTTTGCAAGTCATTCGAACCGGAGGAATTTATGTAAACCTTGCAGACTGCAGTGGTGGATTCCTTGTTGGAGAAACAGGCCCTCTAGAACCTTCTCTGAGCTTTACAGGGCCACAGAGCACCATGAGCAACCCGGACAACAGGAACGGCATGCTGACAGGCAGAGAGAGGCCCTTCAGATGCACCAGGTAGAAGGGAAGGCTCGCACAGGCAGCAGAAAGCACAGGTCTAGAGGGGAAGGGTCAAACCTGGTTTGGGGCTCAGACTCTGAGGCAGTGCTCGCATGCTCTGTCCTCCTTGTCCATTGATTATTATTATTATTATTGTATTACAGAGAGGGAGGGAACGTGTGCGAGCAGGGGAGAGGGGCAGAGTGAGAGAGAGAATTTCAAGCAGGCTCCATGCTCAGCACAGAGCCCAGTGCAGGGCTTGATCCCACGGCCCTGGGATCATGACCTGAGCTGAAATCAAAAGACACTCAAACAACTGAGCCACCCAGGCACCCCCTCCCCGCCTCCACGTCCATTTTAAAGTTTACTTTCTTTTGCTGTATCAGGAAGTCCAAAGGAAAGGAAATAAAAACAAAGTAGAAAAATGCTCTTACCTGTTGGAGTCCTGCCTTTTCCCAGTAATGGACATAATACAAAAAATGGGGCCAGTGGGCATGGATGTCAAAGGGAGAGGAAAACCTGATGATAAGGGAACCTTCTCCTGGTGTCACCCAAATGTTTCTGGGAGGCCCAATGGTAACTGAAATAAAATGACAAAGAAAAGCAAAAAAATATATATATATATATGTATATATATATATATACACACACACATATACAGGCATATAGCATATATGTATGTTTTATAAATCACATAGTATATAATTTTAGGGGCGCCTGGGTGGCTCAGTTGGTTGAGCATCTGACTTCGGCTCAGGTCACGATCTCACAGTTGACATGTTCGAGCCCTGTGTCAGGCTCTGTGGTGGCAGCTGGAAGCCTGTGTCTCCCCCTCTCTCTCTGCCCCTCTTCTGCTTACGCGTTCTCTCTGTCTCAAAAATAAACACTAAAAAATTTAAAAGTATATAATTTTATATGTACAGTGTGTACGCACACACATACACGTATTTATAAATCCAGTGAGTTGGCATCCAGGCATATAAGACTCCCAGAGACTGCTCCGGGCACACGCTTGACTTGAAGGCTACAGGGCAGGAGGCCCAGCCGGGCCACAGAGGAGCACCAGGGACTTCTTGTCTTCAGTGGAGGGAGGGGTCCTTTGCAACCATCTACCTGGGGGCCCAGAGCAGGTCTCTCTGGTCCCCCAAGGACACAGCTTCCGTGTAAAGAGAAAGACCCACGAGAGTCAAGTATGGGAACCTCCCAGGTTAAGAGGTGCAAGAGCCAGTATCTCTTACAATAACTCTGCAGGGATAGTTTCCAGGGTCCCCACCAGGGACGTGCACAGTTACAAAAACCGCTGCAATCGGCCACAGACGTGGCTTCCTAAGAGGTAGTTAGGATGGGCCCCCAGGGAGATGCAGTTTATCAGTCAGGGCTCAATTCGCCAGAGGTGATGCTGTCAAGGGTCACAATTGATACGCCATCCTTATCCGCTTTCCAGAGAAACAGCTGGAAGGTTAACCAAAGGTCAAATTCTCATGCAGAGGAGGAAGGGATTTTGTTATTCCTTAACTGGTTGGCTAGTTCTATTCCTTACCTACTACCTATATACTTCGTATAGTTGCTTAATATACATTCTGAGAGTTTCTTTACAAATGTACAAGAGTGTTATTTCCAAACCTTTGAAGGCAGGTCTCCTCGCTTATTGTAACATTATGTTCAAATATAGTAACAGAGAACTAGTCCCCTAGTGAGTCTATTTGTTACAGCTTTGCTTATAGTTCCCAGGATGGCCAAGGACAGCAACTCACGGAGTGCTATACTTTAAAGTTTGCAGCATTTCTCAAGTAGGCACTCAAAGTGTGTAATTAACCAGAGGAGCTCGGATCAAAGTATAGGCTGGGCTGCATGAGTTCTTTTCTTTAAAAAAAATTTTTTTAACATTTATTCATTTTTAAGAAAGAGAAAGGGGGGGGGGGAGCAGGGAAGGAGCAGAGAGAGAGGGAGACACAGAACCCGAAGCAGGCTCCAGGCTCTGAGCTGTTGGCACAGAGCCCGATGCGGGGCTCAAACTCACTGACCGAAGATCATGACCTGAGCTAAAGTCAGACGCTTAACTGACTGAGCCACCCAGGCGCCCCAAGGCCACATGATTTCTAAGAGGCCTGTTTATACACCGTTTACATGTGCAGACGATCATATCACGGTGAGCGGTAATGGTTCACTGTAGTTTGGACGCTTTCTCTTATGCTTCCACACGCTTCCTTGGGCTCTCCCAGGTTGGCCAGCCTTGGGCATCTGGTTTGGCTGCCCTTCTATGTGCAAAAGTAGCTGCCCTGCAGGGCTTGCACCTGCTCTCTCTGATCTCATTTGTTCAGGGTGGGGAGGGAGGGTAGGGGGAGAGCCTGGCCCATCACCAGCAGGAACAATGTTAGCGGATTGGCCGCAAGTGACAAAAAGTGTTTGTTAAACCTGCTCACAGATGCTGGCATAAGCGTGTCGAGCTTCCCTTTCACGGCCAAGCGGCTAGAGCACGAGAAGGCACTGATCTGCAGGCCCCAACCGCCTGCTGCACACCTCTCACCTTGGTACGCCGTACTCTCTAGACTTTTCTGTGGCTTATGCGTGGAAAGTGGGCCTGGAAGCCAGAGTGCCAGCCGTGACCAGTCACGTAATCCACTGGAAGGTCAGTGCCAAGAGACATGCCCTTCTCAGAGTCCTGGGTCTGGAATCTGGCACCGAGCTGATAAACCTGTCTCTTGAGGGGTAAGCAATCTGCCTTCTCTCAGCACATGGAAGTAAGTCTGTTACCTGAGGGTAACAACTTGCACGCGCTAAGCTATGCCTGTAAACCAGGCCATGTGGACTTTACTACATGTGTCCCCACACAGCCGTGTAGCCAACCACAGAAGGTTACCCTTGTTTCCCAGAGGGGGAAACAGAAGGCAGGGGGTGACTGTACTTGCCCAGAGTCATAGTGAATAAGTGGAAGAGCCAGGATCTGAACCTGGGTCTGGTGAGGCTACAGCCCGCCCCCTGCAGCATCTCCCCCTCTCCCCGAAACACTTGGTAAAGCATCTTCCTGTTGATTATCCAGCTCCACAGTACCGACTGGTGGACACAGCGATGGGGCCCAAGGAGGTCTTTACAAGCTATGGGCAGAGGATGACAACCCAGCCAGTAACCACCTGGGGGCACTGTTCCCCAGCTCAGGCTCGGAGGACAGAGTGCAGCCGTGGACCAAGGACTTTCACAAGGGTCTTGCCTTGCCTCTATTCCCATTCCTCTCCTGGGCGTGGCCAGTAACTACCACATCTTTCTTTCTTTCTTTCTTTCTTTCTTTCTTTCTTTCTTTCTTTCTTTCTTTCTTTCTTTCTTCCTTCCTTCCTTCCTTCCTTCCTTCCTTCCTTCCTTCCTTCCTTCCTTCCCTCCTTCCTTCCCTCCTTCCTTCCTTCCTGTCTCTCTCCCTCCTTCCCTCCCTCCCTTTCCTTTTTTCTTTTTAACTAATTCCCACTTAACCAACATTTTCTTTTTTATATATATATATATATTTTTTTTTATTTCTAGGAGAGAGAGAGAGAGAGACAGCATGAGCAGGGGAGGGTCAGAGAGAGAGGGAGACACAGACTCTGAAACAGGCTCCAGGCTCTGAGCTGGCAGTCAGCACAGAGCCCGACGCGGGGCTCGAACCCACGAACCTCGAGATCATGACCTAAGCGAAAGTCGGACGCTTAACCGACTAAGCCACCCAGGCACCCCTTAAGTAACATTTTCTAGCTCAAATGTGTGCTGGCTTTCTACTCAAGGACAAATGACTTGTCCACAGTAGACAACCAGCTGGCAGGAATCCCAACTGTCTTCTCTTTCGGTTCCCGCAGCATCTAACACAAACCTTTTACTTTTTTTTCCTTAGCTTCCTATCTCGGAACATTTCAAACACGTAGAAAGTAAGGGGAAGGTCATAACAAAAACTCATGTAGTCATCAACCAACTTTGATCAACCATCAGGTCAACGGCTAGTTTTGTTGCCCGTGTGCCCATCCACCTTGCCCTTAGCTTCCTACTCTCTGGATTATTATGAACAAATCTCCAACATTACATCATTTCGTGTGTAAATTCTCCAGTGTGGGTCTCTAAAAGATAGGACCCCACCAGGCCCCTTTAAAAACATAAAATACCATTATAATACCTAAGACAAATTAACAATAATTGCTTAAGTAGATCATTAAATAGCTAGGCAGTGACCACATTTCCTCACTGGTCTTATACGTCTGTTTCGTTTGTTTGAATCAGGATCCCATAGTTTATGTTTGCATAAACCATAAACACTGAAGAAACATGGGGCACAGGTGACTATGTGAATCAGGGAAGGAGCAGATGTACAAACTACTATCTGTCATTTCTTATGCCCCCTTCCAACGTCTGGAAGCACATTTGTTCATTCAATCATTCAACTAAGCTTTACTGAATATCCACTATGTGCCAGGCACTGTTCAAGTCTGCATTAAAGTCTTTTTTGAACATAAAGGAAGTTCTGCCCAAAGAGTTAAGAGTGATCAGTGAAGCTGATATACTAGTATCCTATCCGGCCCAGAGGTCAGCAAACTTTTTCAGTAAAGTGCCAGAGTAAATTTAGGCTTTCTGGGCCATAAAACTCCATTGCAACTATTCAACTCTATGCTGTAGCTTGAAGGCATCCACAGAACATACATTATTAAAAGACGGTGACACCGTGTTCCAATAAAACTTTATTTACAACAACAAGCTGGTGGGCTGGCCGTGGCCCACAGGCTGTAGTTTGCCAGCCCCTGGCCTGGTAAATCACACTCCTCTAGCGTCGGCCTCCATGGTCAGTACTTGGACTTGACCATCATATCCACCTGTTTCCTGGCTATGTGGGGCGAGAGGCAAGATGGAGGTGCATGGAGTCAATACTGCTCAGTGAAGAGGAAAGTGAAGAAAGCCTAGAAATGATCAAGGAAGTCTCACCGTCAAGTTCTCTTACCATTCCAACAGTACCGGAATGAAGGCACTGTCAGCCACGGAGAAACTAGGTCTTCCACCTTAGCTCGAACACGTAAGGAGATCTCCCATTCTGGTTCCCAAAGGACTGAGTTGCTGTTTGGGGAGAAGTCACACTCCGCTGTGGTGATATTCATACAATTCACACCTGTGCTCTTGACATCATACCACATACCGCTACTGCCACTGCAAAGGAAAAGAGGATTTCACTTCACAGAATTCTCTCTTCTATAACAGTTTCCAGAGCTGAGCTTTTTTTTTTTTTTTTTTTTAATATTTTCTATTTATTTCTAGGAGAGAGAGAGACAGCGTGAGCAGGGGAGGGTCAGAGAGAGAGGGAGTCACAGACTGAAACAGGCTCCAGGCTCTGAGCTGGCAGTCAGCACAGAGCCCGACGCGGGGCTCCAACCCACGAACCGCGAGATCATGACCTAAGCGAAAGTCGGACGCTTAACCGACTAAGCCACCCAGGCGCCCCTCCAGAGCTGAGCTTTAAAAGCAACTTTACTGCGATACAATTCACATGCCATATAATTCACCCATTTAAAGTATACAACGCAGGGGCGCCTTGGTGGCTCAGTCGGTTGAGCATTCGACTTCACCTCAGGTCATGATCTCGCGGTTTGTGAGTTCAAGCCTTGTGTCAGGCTCTGTGCTGACAGCTCAGAGGCTGGAGCTTTCTTCGGATTCTGTGTCTCCCTCTTTCTGCCCCTCCACTCCTCATACTCTGTGTCTCTCTCAAAAAAAAAAATAAATAAATAAATAAATAAATAAAGTGTACAACTCGATGGCTTTTGGTAGATTTACAAGGCTGTGCAGCCAGCACCACAATCAAATTTAGAACATTTTTATCATCCTCAAAGGAAACCCTTGCCTACTAGCACTCACTCCCCACCCTGCCTTAATCCCCTAAACCCTAGGCAATCATTAATCGTCTACTTTCAGTTTCTATGGATTTGCCTACTCTGGACATTTCTTTTTTTTTTTTTTTTAAATATTTTTTTATTTATTTCTAGGAGAGAGAGAGACAGCGTGAGCAGGGGAGGGTCAGAGAGAGAGGGAGACACAGACTCTGAAATAGGCTCCAGGCTCTGAGCTGGCAGTCAGCACAGAGCCCGACGTGGGGCTTGAACCCATGAACCGAGAGATCATGACCTAAGCGAAAGTCGTACGCTTAACCGACTAAGCCACCCAGGCGCCCCTACTCTGGACATTTCTTATAAAGCTGCATGGTCTTTTCTGATTGGCTTTTTATTATTATTAGTTTCCCATGGGGGGAGGAAAGAGACAGCATGAGCAGGGGAGGGTCAGAGAGAGAGGGAGACACAGAATCCGAAGCAGGCTCGAGGCTCTGAGCTAGCTGTCAGCACAGAGTCCGACGCAGGGCTTGAACCCATGAACTGTTGAGATCGTGACCTGAGCTCAAGTCGGACGCTTAACCGACTGAGCCACCCAGGCACCCCTGATTGGCTTTTTAAATGCAGCATGTTTTCAGGAGTGATGCATGTTGTAGCATATATCAGGACTTCATCTCCTCTCTTTTTAAAAATAATTTTTAAAAACTATTTTGATAGAAATAGAGACAGAGAGAGAAGGGCAGAGAGAGAAAATCCCAAGCAGGGTCTGCATTATCAGTGGAGAGCCTGACCCAGGGCTCAAACTCACGAACTGTGAGATCATGACCTAAGCCATAAATCAAGAGTCCGATGCTTAACTGACTGAGCTGCCCAGGCGCGCCAGCATTTCATCCCTTCTTCTGGCTGAATAATCATCATACGGATACAGCACATTTTGTTTATCCGTTCATCTGTTTATGGCCATGCCGGTTATTCCCACTGTTTGGCTGTTATGAATAATGCTAAAAAATATTCACTTGCAAGTTTCCATGTGAATACAACTTTTCAACTCTCTGGGGTAAATACCTAGGAGTAGAATTGATGGGTCATATAGTAACTCTCTTTTTAATTCTCTTTCAAACCAGCTGCACCATTTTACATTCCCACCTGCAATGCATAAGGGCTCCAATTTCTCCATATCCTCACCAACACGTGGTATGCCTTTTTTATTATGGCCATCCTAATAGTGCGCTGTGGTATATCACTGTGGTTTTCATTTGCATTTCCCTGATGAATAACGATGCTGAGCATCTTTTTAGGTATTTATTGGCCATTGTATATTTTCTTTGGAGAACTGTCTACTCAAATCCTTTCTCTATATTTTAATTGGGTTGTCTTTTCATTGTTGAGTTGTAAGAGTTCTTTATTTTTTTAAAAAAATTTTTAATGTTTTATTTATTTCTGAGAGAGAGAGAGAGAGAAAGAGACAGCATGAGCAGGGGAGGGTCAGAGAGAGAGAGGGAGCTACAGAATCTGAAACAGGCTCCAGGCTCTGAGCTAGTTGTCAGTACAGAGCTTGATGCGAGGCTCAAACTCACGAACCAGGAGATCAGGACCTGAGCCAAAGTCGGACGCTTAACTAACTGAGCCACTCAGGTGCCCTGTAAGAGTTCTTTACTATATTCTGGATACAAGTCCCTTTTCAGATCTAGGGTTTGCAAATATTTTCCCCATTCACTCCTACAACTGATTTTAATTCTTCAAACTCAGCCTCTATAGGCAATACCTTAGGAAAGATACTGCTTTCATACAAACCCCACTTATACCTCTCCAGAGTGTGGGGCTCATTTTACCCCACAGCTGCCCATTTAGAGAGAATCTGCCTCACCCATATGAAAATGCTACCAAATAGGAGGCCATATATTCTTAATAAACATTAAAAACATATATATAAGATGTATATATATAATACATATTAATGTTTTATATATTAATGTTATATATATATATATGTTATCTATATACCTATTTTTAAATGTTTATTTTTGATGTTGGTTTTTTTTTTTTAAATTTCTAGGAGAGAGAGAGAGAGACAGCGTGAGCAGGGGAGGGTCAGAGAGAGAGGGAGACACAGACTCTGAAATAGGCTCCAGGCTCTGAGCTGGCAGTCAGCACAGAGCCCGACACGGGGCTCGAACCCACAAACCGCGAGATCATGACCTAAGTGAAAGTCGGACGCTTAACCGACTAAGCCACCCAGGTCAGCACAGAGCCCGACACGGGGCTCGAACCCACAAACCGCGAGATCATGACCTAAGTGAAAGTCGGACGCTTAACCGACTAAGCCACCCAGGTGCCCCTAAATGTTTATTTTTGAGAGAGAGAGACAGAATGTGAGCAGGGGAGGGGCAGAAAGTGAGGGAGACACAGAATCCAAAGCAGGCTCCAGGCTCTGAACTGTCAGCACAAAACCCGATGCTGGGCTTGAACTTGTGAACCATGAGATTGTGACGAGAGCCAAAATCAGGCGCTTAACTGACTGAGCCACCCAGGTGCCCCACAAGGCCATATATTCTTGCGTGCCTGCATGGCTCAGTCAGTTAAGCATCTAACTCTTGGTTTCGGCTCAGGTCATGGTCTCACGGTTTATGAGTTCGAGCCCCGCATCTTGCTCTGCACTGACAACAGAGAGCCTTGGGACTCTCTCTCTCTCTCTGCCCTTTCCTGTCTCTCTCTCTCTCTCAAAATAAATAAATTAAAAAAAAAAACCCTCCCAAGTACAAGGCCATGTATCCATGTATTCTTGTAAATGCCAATGTGTGCCCCAGAGCCCAGTGCCACACCCCCACATAGGACTCTACTCTCCAGCTCTGACCTCTGACCTTAGGTGACAGACTTGAGAAAACCCAGGTAGGCAGGAGGCTGCTAGAAGCCTCAATGCGGGGAGCAGGCGGTGTCTCCTGTAAAGACAGCCTACAGCGCCATCCCCTACCACAACTCTGGCCTAGAAAGCAAAGCCAGGGAGACAGGAGAGAGGTGGGGTGCGATCACTGTGAGCAGCTTGCACACACCACATGTGCTTCTAAGTCTTCCTCTAATCCCGACTGGAGACTTCTGTCAAAGTGGCAAGATGAAGGCCACGTCACGGGGCGTGGCCAGGGCTTGCTGGGAAGATGCCTGCGGTCCTCACATTACCACCAAGCCCTGGCCCCCCAGACCCTGGTGGGGAGAGGGGTCCCAAAGCGCAGGCTACGTGTCTCCTCTTAGACCGGGAGTGAGCTTCAGAAGGGGAAAGTGGCTTCAGAACGGGTAAGTTATACACATACTTCTCGCCACTCTAATCTCCCGACACAGCCCAGCTGTTGAACTTGGGGCAAAAGGCGCCCCACATTTCAAAGGCTCGCTTCCCAGTTTGCCAGGGAGCGGCCCAGCCACGTTCCCCATCCTCACCTCTCCTCCAAACCTGGCCTTTCCTCAGCGCTGCTTTTGGAAAACGTCTCTCTACAAAGGGGCTTAAAGGGGGAAGAAACCATCCAAACTGATGTGACAGCTGATGCAGGAAGACCAGCAGCTCTGGGGGGCGGAGTGGGGGGCGGGGTGAAAAAGGAAGCTGCAGGCTGCCTCCCCATCTCTTTGCAAAGGGTAGACACAAGGTGATGGTGGCCGCACACAAACGAACGCAGAGTCGAGAGCATGGCCCCATCCGCCGCCAGCCTCCAGCCTCCTGCCCAGGGCTCTTCATGCTCAATCAGCCAGCCCAGCCTCACCCAGAAAGTCGCCTGCATGCCCCTCACCACACACCCATTGGGGACTGCCTCAATTTGTCTCCTTTTGAAAGCAGCCCTCATCACAAGAAGGGTATACAGCATAGTGGTTAAACACCCGGGCCCTGGAGCCAGGTTCCCTGCGTTCAAATCCCAATCATTGTATTTCTTTTAGTCCCCTCATCTATAAAATGGGGGTAAATTATGGTCTCGGTCTGCCTGAGCTTTCATGAAGGTTGAACCAGTGGGCATCAGTAAAATGTCTGTGCCGGGACCTGGTGCAGAGGAAACATGTAAATTATTTGTTAAACAGCTGGGCAGCTACATACTTTACTGTTACAGCTGTTCTGAGTTCACTTCCAAAAATGGTAAGTGTCGCCTTCGACCCTGCAGCTCCTCTCCTACAAATGTAAGAAAACAACCAGATGATTTACGTACGAGGGCACCACCTCCAGCAGCCACAAACTCTCGACTGTCTATATTGGGTGTGGGGAAGAGTTAAATACATCGTGTGTGATACATCATATAATAAAACCACCTCCAGCAGCCACAAACTCTCGACTGTCTATATTGGGTGTGGGGAAGAGTTAAATACATCGTGTGTGATACATCATATAATAAAACCACCTCCAGCAGCCACAAACTCTCGACTGTCTACACTTGGGTGTAGGGAAGAATTAAATACATCACGTGTGATACATCATCTAAGAAAATGGGCAGTGAAAATGTTTACACAGAGATAATTACATGAGAAAAAGTGTTCAGACATTTAAGTACATTCAGTTAAAAAAAAAAAAAAGAAAAAGGAAGCAGGACCGAGAAGTATAACCCCAGTTTTCAGTTTTACACACACACCAGCACATTTTCAAACCAAGTGCATGCATTTAGAAAAAAGTCTAGAAAGAAATACACTAAAATGAGGACAGTGATTATTCTTGGGTGGTAGAGCATTGGATGTTTTAATTTTATTCTTTCTACTTTTCCGAGCGTTCCAGCCTTTCTGTAGAGAATGTGTATTGCTATTAAAATTGGGGGGGGGGGGAATGGAATAAAGAAATGCTTTCAGAAGACTGGGCTGGTCAGGTTAGGTTTTTTTTTTTTTTTAAGTAAATCTCCAGATTTTGAAATGTTGGCACTAACAGAAAAAACAAAAATTAAATACTGCAGGTCAAATAAAGCCTATAGTCCACACTGTCTGCAACCCTTGCTTTAAACTTTAAATTTTCTCATAATGGTTTTGCTACTGTGACGATCAGAAAACAGAGGCACTGGGGCGCCTGGGTGGCTCAGTCAGTTGAGTGTCTGACTCTTGATTTCAGCTCAGGTCATGATCCCAGGGTTGTGGGATGGAGCCCTACATCTGGCTCTGTGCTGAATGTGAGGCCTGCTTGGGATTCTCTCTCTCTCTCTCTCTCTCTCTGCTGTTGCTGCTGTCCCCACTCTCTCCCTTTAAAAAAAAAAAGAAAACAGAGGCACCTTCATTTAAAATCACAGTAATGCTTTACTGTAGAGAAACAGGATGGAAAAGATTTAAGTCCCACAAGCCTCAAAATGAAATTATTTCATGACACTAAACTGACGCAAGCATGTAAAAGTCTCTAAAAAAATCAAAACAAGAGCAAAGGCCCTCCTCCATCATCGAGTCTGCAATTGGAAAAGAAAAGATCAGCTTTGGTTTCAGTTTTTTGTTATCCTTCAACTTTTCCAAACGAGGCCATTTCATTCACCCCATCCTTTGTTTCTTTTATCAAAAAATATCTCCAAAATGCTCTCCAAAAAGAAAACAAAGTAAGCAAGTTAGTTTAGAATGGGAAACTGTCAAAGGCTTTAACAAATATTTCTCACATTTCCTGGTTCTCTGTCAATCCACAGATGGACCTCCCCATTCAAGGCTAAGTAAGGAGTGCTAGTCAATAAATCAGCTGTGCCTTCCTGTTACTGAAATCTTGTTTATTGTTATTTAAAAAAAATTTTTTTAATGTTGATTTTATTTCTGTGAGAGAGACAGAGCATGAGCGGGGGAGGAGTAGAGAGAGAGAGGGAGACACAGAATCCAAAGCAGGCTCCAGGCTCCAAGCTGTCAGCACAGAGCCCGGTGCGGGGCTTGAATTCATGAACATGAGATCATGACCTGAGTCAAAGTTGGACGCTTAACTGACTGAGCCACCCAGGTGCCCCCCAACTATCCTTTTTAATAGTTGCCTCACGTTTGACTTCAAGTTAACAGGACACAGTTTGACATTTTCCTGCTGATGGACATGAATATAGACCTCAATGTGTATCTTTATGAATACAAGTGTTTTTTATTTCTTTTTCTGATGGGGGTTTGTACTGACTGTGCAGGGGAAAGTAACAAGGGCATTTCTGTGGCTCTGTTTCGCTATAAGAGCACTGTGTTAGCTGATCCTCATTCAGTACTGTATCCGCCAACCACACTCTCACAAGCACTGAGCATTACCACGTCTTTAACTTAGTTTAACAGGTAATATAAACTGACTTAGCCAACAAGATAAACACATAACAATTAAGGACCGAGATTCTGCCTTTCTTCTTCCCACCTGTGTTTATATTGCCAAGTGATGGCAAACTGAAAAAGCTTGCAAAGCGGGTGAGAGAGGGAACGAGCGGCCAGCATACTGTGCAAAATGGAAAAAATCCATTTAGAAATGGAGAATTAGGGTGTCTGGGTGGTTCAGTCAGTTAAGCATCTGACTTCAGCTCAGGTCACGATCTCACGGTTTGTGAGTTGAGTTCCACATCAGGCTCTGTGGGGACAGCTCAGAGCCTGGAACCTGCTTCGGATTCTGTGTCTCCCTCTCTCTCTGCCCTTCCCCCACTCATGCATGCTCCCCTCCAACCCCCCAAATAAACAAGCATTAAAAAAAAATAAATGGAAAATTAGTAGTAATTAAGTGAATACATTCCTTAGTAGGCCAAATTGGGACCGTAAAGTTGAATACGCCAGATTTTCAAACTTGAAGAAGATGAAGGCTAAGAGCCACCTCCTGCCCTTTCAAGTCAGGAAGCCGTCTTATACCAACTTCTCCTGCGACCAATGAGAGAACAGACTCCCACCCCACTAAGAAGTCACGTGGGTAGACAGTAGAGTCTCTGACACCCGTGCTGTCTCAGCCCTTGGATGGGTGGGGAGTTGTGCAAGATCCGTCCATGGAGATTTTAATTTTTTTTTTTTCTAGGTGAGAGAGAAAGAGAGACAGCGTGAGCAGGGAAGGGTCAGAGAGAGAGGGAGACACAGACTGAAACAGGCCCCAGGCTCCGAGCTGGCAGTCAGCACAGAGCCCGACGCGGGGCTCGAACCCACGAACCGCGAGATCATGACCTAAGCGAAAGTCGGACGCTGAACAGACTAAGCCACCCAGGCGCCCCGCGTCCCTGGAGATTTTAAAAGCACAGGAAAAATATCTATTTCCAGCGGATTTGCCCCCAATCTTGCCGCAAGGCAGCGACAGGCCGCACAGGGTGCTGTAATGGCTCCCCCACAACCCCCAGGAAGGACACCCACGGAGAGATCTGACTTACAATTTATACTGCACCTGGTAGACCACCGGCCTCGAGTCATTGCCCAGGGACACTGGATCCCAGCTCAGAACCTGCTTGGCATTGTACAGGAGAATCTTCGGGTCTCGAGGAGCAGGCAGCTGGGGAAGAGAGTCTTGAAACGGGCAGAGAATAAGAGAACGGGGAAGAGGGGAGAGAGAAAGGGAGAAAGATCAACTACAGAAATATTTCAATGCACGTCAGCAAACCTTTCGTATGCAGCTCTGTTTCTGTCCAGGTGCAGAGATGGTTATTACGTGTATCTCTAGGCAGGTCCCATCCCCCCCACCCCCCCTTGACTAAATGTGGCACCATCAACACAGTCTGTGGAGAAAAAGAAGCTTGGGGCTGCCTTTCTGCCTGCAGACTCTAGTTCTTTCTTAAACATTTTTCTTTTCGTAAGTTTATTTATTTTTGAGAGACAGAGAGAGTGCACGCATGTGAGAGCAGGGGAGGGACAGAAGGAGTGCGAACAGAGAATCCAAAGCAGGCTCTGTGCTGACAGCAGAGAGCCGGACGCGGGGCTCAAACTCACGAACTGTGAGATCATGACCTGAGCTAAGGGCAGACGCTCAACAGACTGAGCCCCCCAGGCGCCCCCTGCAGACTCCACCTCTTATGAACAGGTCCTGGGTGCCGGGGTCTGGCTCAACTAGAATGCTTACTCTACCTTTAGTAAGTATGTGTGACTGGGGAGGGTCACTTGACAGTCTGAGCCTCACTTTTCTTTTTTCAGGAATAAGAGATAAATAATAGTATCGTCTGTAAGTGAAGACTGAATTGGTGGCCGTGTGACATGCATTAACCCCAGACTTGCATTAGTAGCAGATGTGCATGGGGACCAAGGGCGCATTTCGTAAACCTCCACAAACACACGCACACACTCACGCACACCTGCACGCACACACCCCAAACCAGGTGTGCAAAGCCCAAAGGCACATGGAGGGTGAGACACGTCTTTGGGGTGGTGTTTTTCAAGGACCCCCGGTATGACAATCACCGAGGTACTGTTTAAAATGCAGGCCACTCGGGGCGCCTGGGTGGCTTAGTCGGTTAAGCGTCCGACTTTCGCTTAGGTCATGATCTCACGGTTCATGGGTTCGGGCCCCGTGTCGGGCTCTGTGCTGACTGCCAGCTCAGGGCCTGGAGCCTGTTTCAGAGTCTGTGTCTCCCTCTCTCTCTGACCCTTCCCTGCTCACGCTATCTGTCTCTCTCTCCTAGAAATAATAAAAAAAAAACAACAACATTAAAATGCAGGCCACTCCCCAGACCAGGAAATCCACATTCTCAACAAGCTTCCCAGCCTATTCTTCCGCACAGTAAAGCCTAGGGACCACTAACAGGAGAATAACACCCACCCCAGGGATCACCACCACCATCAGGGTCCCCCTCCTGGGGTGACGTGGAAGGCACAACCTCAGCCCCACCCCCACCCCCCCACCCCCCACAGCAGGTACTTCCGCAGGACTGGGCTGGGGACCACAAGTGCAGGAGACCTTTCTCTTGCGAGAACACACGATCATGACGAGACTATCTCTGAGATTCAAAGATTAATGAGAAACGCCCAGAACGTGGAAAGAAAAGTTTGAAAAACATGCTGTTCCAGAATTCAGAGCAGGAAATTCAAACCACATGTTTTCAGCAAACGCATCCAGTCTCTTCAACCAGCCAACCAGCAGGGCTGCCAATTCATACCGGGCGGTGAAAGCCAGCCAGGGTCTAAGGCAGGCAGGCAGGCTGGAGAGCGTGGAGGCAGGCTGCCCTCCTGGGCAGGCCCTTCTCGAGCCCTGAGGCTGCTGCGTGCGGCCCAGCAGATCCCAAAACGGAGCTGAGAAACTGAAGCCCTAATTCCAGAAGGCCTGTGTGTCCCCCAGGGGTGAGTGCCTGGGTAGGGCCGGGCACCCATCAGGGTCTCCAAACTACCCTTTATTTCCTACCTCAAGTTTCTTATTGATGCTGTGATAAAGCAGCACAAATTTGGTGTCTTTTTTTTTTTCTTAATGTTTATTATTCTTGGGAAAGAGAGAGCTTACATGGGAGGGGCAGAGAGGGAGACAGAGGACCCAAAGCGGGCTGTGTGCTGATTGAGCCACCCAGGTGTCCCTCAAATTTAGTGTCTTAAAACAACCCAGGTTTTATGTCTTAAACAGTTCTGGAGGTCCGGGGCGCCTGGGTGGCTCAGTCGGTGAGGCGACCAACTTCAGCTCAGGTCATGATCTCGCAGTTCATGGGTTCAAGCCCCGTGTCAGGCTCTGTGCTGACAGCTCAGAGCCTGGAGCCTGTTTCAGACTCTGTGTCTGTCTCTGTCTCTGCCCCTCCCCTGCTCGTGCTCTGTTTCTCTGTCTCCAAAATAAATAAAGATTAAAAAATTGTTTTAAAAAAGCAGTTCTGGAGGTCAGGTGTTAGAAACTGGTGGGATGAAGTCAGAGTGTTCCGGGTTCCTTCTGGAAGCTCTGGGGGAGAAATGGCTCACTTTGTTTCCTCCAGCTTCTAGAAGCAGCCCACATTCTTTGGCTTTGACTCTTTCCCCCAGCAACACTGGGCCAATTCCTTCTCACGCTGCCATGTCTGCAGTCTGACTCTACTGCCTCCCTCTTCCACCTTTCCGGGACTCTTGTGAACACCCTGGGCCCACGGAGCCCTCCGATCCAGGGTCCCCTGGCCATCTCAGGATCACTACACAGTCCCTTTCGCCACGTAAGGTAAGACAGCCACAGGGTCTGGAGCTGAGGACGTGGACACCTTTGGGGAACGTTATTCCGCCGGCCACAGTGCCGGTCACCATCTCTCCATCTCCTGGGAAGAGCCGTCTCTGGGCACCCCCCACTCCATCTCCACAATCCAGACTTCCAGCTAAGAAAAGAAGCCCCGGGGGAAGAGTTTCCACCCCAACGGAGGGCTGGACCAGGGGAGGGCTGGACCAGGAGCGAGGCTTCCCCATGGAGGTGGAGTCTCTAAATTACCCTTCGACTTTCTTTAACTTTCATTTTACCGCAGTGTGGGAGAGGACCCGTAGTTTTGCTCTTACATTTGGGTTCCTTGGAATCCCCTGTCTCACCACATTCAGAGAAGCAAACAAGTCTTAGAACCAAGGATGTCACAAGGAAGTTTATCAGACTGCCCACTCATTAACAACCGCCTCGTAATACTGCCCTCTGCCCTTCTCAGCAGGCCTGCCTTTGAAGGGCCTCACCCCTGTCTCAGAGGCCACATGGGGCCCTCCCTGTTCCTGAGAAACTCAGGGCCTGCCCTTGCCACTCCTTCTCTGGAGCCTTCCTTCCCAGCATGCCACGCCCCCCTCCGCCCCCACACACTCCCTTCAGGTCTCTGCTCCTATTAGAGTGGTTCCCTGTACAAAATGCCCAGGGCATGGGATTCCTGCCCCTGCCTGACTTGTCCCCACGGGGCTCTCAATGTGGTGAGACAGCGGCTTCCACATGGGCCCCTTGTATCCACCAGGTGCTATGGAGCATGGATTCCAGAGCTGGACTGCCCGAGTTCAAAGCCACACGCTCCCGTAGTTCTTTAACCACTTTGTGCCTTAGCTGTCTCATCTGTAAAATGGGTACAGTACAGACTTTGCAGTGTTGTTATGAGGAACAAATGGGTTAGTTTTATGTCACGGGCTGAGGAAAGAGTGAGTGCCTCATGGTCCGTGCCTCTCCTCACTCTACCAGTTTATCAACCTCCTCCCCCCCCCCCCCCCCCCCCCCCCCCCCCCCCCACCGCCCGCCAGGCACAAGAGTGGGGAGCTCCAGGAAGGCTGGGTGTTCTTGGACTTGGGGACAGCGTTACCCCCACTGCCTGGAAGAGCAGGCACTAAGGAGGTGGGGCTGGAGTGGCCTCCAGCTTTCCTTCGGAGACCACATAACCCGTGTCTCGTCCTCAGCATCGCGTCCGCTCGAAAGCCACGCAAAACTTCGATTCCCTGTTTCCTTCCTTGTGTTATGCTCGGACCTCCCTTTCTTGTGGCCTTTGCTGTGGCCGGGAGTGGGTGGATGACTATGGGCCAAGACTTACCTGCTTGGCTCCAAAAAGTCAGCGTATTTAGGGTCATAGCACCTGCTGTCAAGGGTATCGGTGAAGGCTCAGTGGAAAGTGAACAGAATTTATGGACAAAGGGCTGAGGCTGGAGTTCCGATCCTGTCGCCCACAGCTGCAGACCCTGCTGAGGATCTGAGCCCCAGTTTCCTTGTGAAGACCGAAACGGTGCCATCTCTCCCAGACTTGTAGCGAGGGACGTGAAAGGCAGAGCAGACGCTAAGTATAATTTTTAAGACATGACGATTTCAGTGTCCCGACTCCTCATGATACGGCTGTGTGTGAAGGTGCAAGCAGCAAGCAGCCCCCAGACCCTGCCTTGAGCAGCCAGCAATGGGAACTGAGGCTGCAGACAGAATTCAGGGTCCTAATCAAAAGACCTTCAAATAGGGAGGTTATCCTGAAATCTCTGGGTGGACCCAACGTCACCACAATGGTGTTTCTCTAGAAGCTGGAGACGGCAAGGAAATGATTCTTGCCCCAAAAACTCCAGAAAGGAACGTGTCCCTGCTGACACCTTGATTTTAGCCCGGTCAGAACCTGCACCTGACCTCCAGATAACACACTGGTGTTTTTTAAGGCACTGCGTTGGTGGTGATTTGTTACAATAGGAATTAATTCAGATGCTGCAGGTGGACATCGGGGCTTTAGCGACAGCCTGGCTCCTACAAGATAAAAGCTCACAGTAATAGGAGGGTGTGCAGAGCTCCACTCTACCTTCTCTCTCCAGGGTCTCTGGGGCAACCACTCATACACTATTAGTGATAAGAAGGGATAACGCAGGTGTCACTGTGTGAAGTGTGTCCTCTGCACCTCATGACTACGGCCTCCTCCTGTGTCACCTTTCTGCCCCCACCTACCACTTCGGATCCCCCCTGGATCTACCCATGAGGCTTTACACATATTTAAGAACAGGCTATCCTGGGTCTCAGAAGTATAGTTTGATTAACATACATCACACACAGATAATAAAATAAAGTACCATTCACATTAAAATTAATAATTTAATCTTGACAACCAAAGACCCTCCAGAATCTTTCCATGGATGGGCCATTATGATGAACATCAACGGTCCTCCCTCTAACGCCTTGCAGGGGAAGAGTCAAAAACACATTTCCTGGGGCACCTGGGTGGCTCAGTCAGGTGACCGTCTGACTCTTGATTTCCACTCAGGTCATGATCTCAAGGTTGGAGGGATTGAGCCCATCTCGGGCTCTGTGCCGACATCACAAAGCTTACTTGGGCGTCTATCTGCCCCTCCCCCACTCATTCTCTCTCTCTCTCTCTCTCTCTCTCTCTCTTTCTCTCTCTCTCTCTCTTTCTCTCTCTCTCTCTCAAAATTAATAAGCATTAAAAAAAAATTCCCTGAATCCTAGTCACAACCAGGAAGTTGCTTTTGCTAGTAAATACTGGACATCACTTATTTATCTAGCCATTTGTCTCTTCCTATAAAGGATGTTTTTGCTTTCGTGAGAGTAAATGGGGCTATTACTTACTTGAAAAGAATAGTAGAAAGAATAAAGTCAGATAATGTATATAAGACACTTAAAACCTTGTCTGACCTAGAAGTGTGGCCCAATACATGGTAACTATTACTATCATTTGTAGTTTGCCCCCAAACACACCAGCTACTTAGTTTCAACCGCTGAGACTATGGACAAACAGGAGTTACTCAATGACATTCATTTGCAATGGTTTTTATGTTGCTGGGCATTTACCGTCTTTCTCGGTGGTCTCTAAGCACATTAGGAGCTTTGGTCAAATCAACACATCATGGCAATAAAGTTCTATGGCACAAGTCCATGTCCAATCTACTAGAAAACTAAGCAGCAACTACAATACAAAGAGAAGCCTCAATTCCTCCACATTTAGGTAAATTACTAGATAGTCAGTGGACTTACTGCACTTTGGTGCAGTCAACTCATTTTTTATCTAAAGCAAAGGCCACCACTTAATGTATTACTACTGAGGGGAGCAAAATACACCACCCCCAAACACGCCACTCTGGCATGTTGATTATTTTGAATTAAAGTTCCTTAAGAAACAGCTGGTGTGATTTTAGGACATTCTGAATTTCCTTTATTCCCTTACAAGTAAGAAATAAATATCTCCTGTATCCTTCCTATCTTCCTATACCAGAAGGGTAAAGGGCATCTTTATTGCTGGGGAATTCAAGGCCTAGAAGGTTGTATAAATAAACTTTGTTAACTTTGTTAATCTATTACCCCAAGTTCAAACCCCTTTGTTTGGTCAAATCTCCACATATAATTGGTTCTCTAAGAGGTATGAAATCTGCCTGATTCAGTCACGTCTTTGAGTCTCATATTTTCATAAGCTCCTGTAGGTACTAATTAAATCTGTTTTTCTCCTGTTACTCTGTTTCATGTCAACTTAATTATTAGACTAGTTGAAAAATCTAGAAGACAAGAAAGGAAAATTTTTCTTCCCCTTACACTACAATTCAGGTCAGGTTCAATATTTTACATGCCATCTTTATAACAACTCTAAGAGGTAGATATATTTATGTCTCCCTTTTTAAAAGTTTGTTTCCAATACCTTTATCTATTTTTTCTCTGACCATAAAAACAATTCCATGATCACTGAAAGACACTTGTGAATTACAGAAAAGTACGGAAAATTTTCTACTGCCCATTTACTATATCACCACTGTTAGTAGTTTCACTCTGTGCTCTAACAGTTTCTCTTAAAAATATCCTAGTTTTTTAATGGTTTGCTAGGAAAAAATTTCAAGTAGTCACAGAAGAGATTAGTATAACATGGTGCTATTTTTCAAAGGACCTATGATCAAGTTTATTTCTGATGCATCACACAGCCCCAAACTCTGGTAGAATACAATAAAAGATAATTACTAGAAAGATGGACATGGCCTTAGGTGCTGGAGGCAACATCAAATTGCAAAGTTTCTATATATTTCTCTCCACCCTGGACTCATGGCAGAAAAGTCACAAATGCCGCATAGACCCCCCGCTGGCGAGCTGTAGCATTAGTATAAAGTAACGACCATCTGTTACCCAGTTCAGCCAGTTACCAACATTCGCCAAAGCCGAAGACCTATAAGAAAGAGGCCCAGGGAGAGCTGAACATAGATTGCTCAACACTTGAAGCTGAGGCAGGGTGGGGTCAGGACTCAAACCCATCTGTCTGGGGTAGGAAAACAGCCTTTTAGCCAGGAGCTCCCCCCCCCCCCCCACTCCTGTGCAAGCCTGCCCTTACGAAGCAGTTTTGGAATTTAAGGGTCTAAGTGATGCTGGCAGAAAACGACAGCGACAACAACGAATCTAAAACACACACTGAGCTTCACAAGGGAGGAAATTTCTAATTTCTAGAGACTCAGCCCATGACAGTCTCGCTCTGGGAAGGAACCCAGCGAAACACAAACACATATGCATACACACAGAATAATCCCCTGTCTATCTCTTCCGCCCCAGGTCTTCTTTTCTGTCCCTTTGGTATTTATATTTGGCTCATCAGTGCGATCAGTTAGTGTCAGAAGCAAGAAGGAGGCTGACCCGGGGAAGGGGCTCTCTGGATGGGAGCTGAGCTAGGATTCAAAGTCTGGTTCCGTTGACTCCCTGCCGTCGACACAACTGGGGGCCCGGACATTTCTGGGTCCTGGCCTGAGTGCCGCTCCCCATCTATCTGACCCTGGGGAAATGACCATCTGGACTTGACACCCACTATCAAACACACGCGAGCCACAGCGAGACTGAGTCACATCTCCACCACGGAGGAGGTCCCGGCCTGTGGCTGGCCGCGGCCGCACGCAGCTGCAAGGAAGGCAGGCCTGCCCAGGCCCCGCTTCTAACTCGCGGCCCTGGGGAGGGCGCGCCGGGCGCGGCCAGGATCAAGGCTCCGGGGCCGGCGGACGCAGCCCTCTCCCGAGCCCCGGATTCCGTTTTCGTTGGCTCACGCTGAGAAACTCGGAGACGCCGCCGGCCGCGCTCGTTTGCACCGAGCGGCGGAGCGGGGGTGGCGGAAGGGGGGCGGCGGTGGGTCCAGGTTCCCGCAGGAGGAGGGAGTCTGCAGCCGGGAAGGGATGACCCGGGGCCAGGACGCCGGGAGGGACTGCCCGGAATTCCCCGCCGCGCTCCCTACACCCGCGTCGGGCTTCGCGCAACTCTGGGTCCGCTGCGGGCTCCCCGCGCACCCCGGCCCCTGGGGCTCCCCGGGGATCGCTCACTCCCTCCGCGCACCCCACGGACGCCCGCCCCCAACCTGCGCCGCCCGGAGCGCTCCCCCGATCGGGGGACCCCCACCCACCGCGGGCTCCCAGCGACACCCGCCCGCTCGCGGCAGCCCTCCGATTGCCACCCGCAGGCGACAGCGCCTCCGTCCGGCCTCGGGGGCCCCCCGGGGCCCGGCTCACCTGCGGGGGTCGCCGCGGCGCTGCGGCCGCCGAGTAGCAGCAGCGACAGCGACAGCAGCGACAGCAGCGACAGCAGCGGCGGCGGCGGCCGCATGGCCCGGGGCTCTCGCGCCGCGGGCTCGGCGGCGGCTCTGGGGGCGGCCAGGCCCCGGCGCGGGGTCCGCCGACCCGCTCACGTCGCCGCCCGGGCGGCCATGGCGACCGCAGGGCGCGCGGGGCCCGCCCCTTCCCGAGCGGCGCGGCCCGGGCGACAGGGCAGCCCGGCTCGGCCGCAGCCACCGCCCAGGCCGGCCCCTCCCGGCGCCCGCGCCCCGCCCCGCCTGCCGCGGGGCTTTCCCGGCGCCCCCACCCGCTCGGTGGCCGCGAGCTCCCCCCGCGCCGCTGGGACCCGGAGGCCCCCTGCCGGACGTCCCCTCCGCGGAGACCTACGAAACCCGGGGTGGGCCGCGTGCTGAGCCTCGCCTCCCCCCTCCCCCACCCCCGCCCCCCAGCACTGCTCCCCACCCCCCTGCCCATTCTCTCCTCCTCCACCC